TACCCATTCAGGGGAGCAAGAAATACAGTTGCATGTGTCTGGATCACCCCTGCCCACTATATGACACTATCATCTACCAAAGGAGAGTCTCTGCCAAATGTACTGGTGAGGATTTGCTCTGTGTGAATGCAGTCTACAATGGCCTTGGTGTCTTTGGCTGTCCTACATCCATCCCCTGATGGTTCAGATGCATCTTGCTATCAGTAGGCTAAACACACACACACACACACACACACACACACACACACACACACGCCATGCCCTGCAGTCTTGTGCCAAAATCAAGGTTCTCCTGCCTGCTATCTATACTTCCTTCTAGGTCACACCTTTGCAGTAATTTATTCCAGCTTAAATTCCCTTCCTTCCTACTCTGGGGGGTTGTAGTGGAATCAAACAACGCTTGTGAAGTGTCTAATGCAATGCTTGACAAAGAACAAGTGCTGGGCAAACAAAAGCTTGCCACCCCACCTAGGATGGCAGCTCCCATGTACAAGGAACCTTGCCATCTGCTTATTTGGTGCCTCCTCCAAATGCCTAGCACAAGGCTGTGCCCACACAAGCAAGCCTCTGGGTGCTGCCTGCCAGCCCATTATCAAGTTTAAGGTGGCCTTGCTCACTGAATTATTTTACCGGGTCACTTCTTTAGCTGAGGGCTCTGTGTACCTAGAACGGAACTTATTAAATGCAAAAATGCTACAAAAGCCTATTAAATAAGTGTTTAGGGCCTATTAGCCTACTGGAGCTTGATCCACTGGGACTCCAGCCAGGATCATTTGCTGAAAGAGAAAGGCTGGAGGAAGGAAAGTCTGCTTGAGGGAGACGCGGGACCCCACTGAGCTGAGACTGGGCTGCCCACCAGTCCTTTGCAGATCTGAAAAGGAGAAGGGGCGGGGCTGAGAACACTTGCTCCCTCTGTCCCGGGGTCGGTCAGAGCTCCGCTCAGTCCTGGACGCCTTCACCTCCCACTTCGCCCCTTTTCCCAGGCCTCAGGAGCCCAGTGCCCGCCCGGATTTTCTGGCGGCCTTTGAAGGTTCTGCGGTTAGTTTGTGAGCTCTGCTAGCTGCCTGTGCTGGGCAAACAGGAAGCGGGCACATCCTGCTCGGGTCTGAGACTGGGCCGCAGCCGCTGCGCAGGCCCAGAAGGTTCTACAGCATGCACCCACCTTCGTGATCCTGGCCTTGCAAGCCTCAGGTGTCCCCGACCAAGGCAGCCTTATTCCCTATCCCAGACTTGGAGAGGCCGATCTCTCGCCCCGGATCATGCTGAGTCCCAAAGGCTCGATGGGTCGGCCCCCTTCTTTGCTTCCAGGCCCCTTGCAAGAACTGCAAAACCTTAGCCAATCAACACGCAGATGCTCCTCAGCAGCGCCTGAGGGACTTTCGGACTGCAAAACGCAGGCCAGAGAAGAAGGGATGTAGAACGCAGAATCTCTGTATGAGTCTGCCTGGCAAATTGACTAGACTAGGACTAAAGGAAATGCATTTCAGCTTGTGGGAGATGGGCTTTGTCTTTCTTCCCTTAGCTTGCACTGGACAGATGGATGATCTAAAGGCATAGGGGTAGGGTGGGGAGAGGAAGTCATGAGAACATCTTGGTAGCTGGGGCAGCCCACCTGAGGATTTCATAAATACCACAGAATCGAAAGTTTTGCAAAGGTGCATCTTTAGAGTTCTTTATGATGTCCCACGTGGTTAGGGATCAAAGATGCAGGCAGGGCATGAACCAGCTAGGAAAGACTCTTCATTGAAGATGGATATTCACCCATTTGTTACTCCGTGAGTTTATGTCTCACTTGTTACCTTCTGTCTTTTTCAAAGAATATTTCATTCTAAGAATAAAGTCGTCTATGAATGAAGAAAATAAAAGTGCAATTCTTTTAAAATAATTTTTGTTTTATGTACATGAGTGTTTTGTCTATATGTATATAAGTGCACCTTTGTGTGCAGTTCTGGAACAGGCCAGAAGAGGGCTTCAAATCCCCTGGAACTGGATTTATGGATGGTTGTTACCATCATATGGGTCCTGGGAACTGAACCCACTCCTCTGTAAGAACAGCCAGTGCTCTTTCCACTGAGCCATCTCTCCAGCCCCCAAAGTGCAATTCTTTTATCCCAGAAAATTCCCCTTCTGGACATTTAACAGAAGAACAAATTTTTGGATATGATTTAATATTTACCTTTAGGACATTCAATGAATAGTTTGCTGGGGGTGGGGTGGAGTTTTTGTTTGTTTGGTTGGTTGGTTGGTTGGTTTTTCTGATATTTTGGGTTTGCTTGTTTGTTTAGACAAGGTTTCACTATGCAGCCCCAGCTGGCCTGGAACTCACTATGTAGATCAGTCTGCCATTGAACTCACAGAAATCTACCTGCCTCTGCCTCCCAAGGGCTGAGATTAAAGGCATACACCACCAGGCCTGGCTATGATAAATAGTTGTGTTCTTTGTTTTGTTCTGTTTTGTTTGTAAATCAGACAACCCAAGAGAATCTTTGTGTGGTCTACATGATAGGATACTAAGCAACCATTAAAAACTCACATTGTTGGGCTGGAGAGATGGCTCAGTGGCTAAAAACACTTGTTGTTCTTGCAGAAGACCCAGGTTCAAATCCCAGCACCCACATGGCAGCTAACAACTGTCTTTAAACTCCAGTCCCAGGGGATCCGACAGCCTCTTCTGACCTCTGCGGGCATTTCACGACACGGGTGCACTGACCTACATGTAGACAACACACACATACACATAAAATGAAAAACAAACAAACAAAAAACCTCACATCGTTCAGGCTGGGGTGGCTCAGAGTGAAGTAGTTGCTGTGCAAGCCTGAAGACCTGAATTTGGATCCCTAGCATCCACATAAAAACCAGATGCAGTGGCATGCATCTGTAACTCAAAAACTGAGGGTGGGAAGAGACAGGCAGATCCCAGAACTCACTGGTCAACTACTCTAGCTGACCTCCTCTCAAAAAATAAGGTGGAGACCAATAGAAGACACTGAAATTGACTTCTGGTCTCCACATGTGAATGTACAGGTGAGCACATATGCACATACAAACACACAAGAATATAGTTCAATATTTCAGCTTACTCAAGAGGCAGAGGCAGGCAAATCTCTGAGAGATTGAGGCCAGCCTGGTCTACACAGTGATTTCCAGGTTAGCTGGGGCTACAGGGAGACCCTGTCTCAAAAAACAAAACAAAGAACAAATTTTCAGCCAGTCATAGTGGTATAGCCCGGTAATCCCAACACTCAGGAAGCTGAAGCATGAGGGTAATAAAGTCCAGGCCAATCTGGAATATAAAGCAAAATTCTGCACACAAGAAAATATAAATGTATTCTACATGAAAAGCAGATACCAGCAGTTTGTGAAATGTGATTGTTTTTACATTAAATTTTTTTAAAATAGCTTTATTGTGGTATAATTGAACTTCACTAAACTGTGCATTTTTAAAATACAGAGTTTGATAAGTTTTGACATCTAAACACATTAATAAAACTATCACTACAATCAACATAGTGAATATACCTATCACCTCCAAAGAGTTCTATGTACCCTTAGTGTAATCTGTCCTTCCCATCTCTCCCTATCCCTCAAAACAATGATTTGCCTCCTGTACAGTATAATTTTGTAAGAAGAAAAAAGATGCATGGACGGGGTAATAGATGCTTAAAACAGGAAACGATATTCATCTAAACAGTATGAAAGCCAATTATAAAAAAAAACAAATGAAATTTCTTTTTTGTTGTTTTTTGGGGGGGTGGGGGGGTTGAGAGAGGGTCTCCCTTGTAGCCCCAGCTGGCCTGGAACTCAATAGACCAGGCTGGTCTCAAACTCACAGAGATCCGCCTGCCTCTGTCTCCCAAGTGCTGATATTAAAGGCATTGGCCACCATACCCTGCTTGAAATTTCTTTTTGTTTGTGTTTAATAAATTGTGTGATGCATTCCAGGTTTTTTTGTAGTAAACAGAAGCATTTGAGAACATTAAAATAGCTGCCACAGGGGCTGAAGAGCTGACTCAGCATTTAAAAGCACTGTCCGTAACTCCAGTTCTAGGGGATCTGATGCTCTCTTCTAGTTTCCTTGGGTATTGCACCACACGGGTGCACTTACGTACATGCAGGCAATACACTCATACACATAAAATAAATAAAAAATAAAATAAATATATCTGCTACAAGTACTCAATAGTGGCATGTATAACCTATGGATTAGACTCCTAGTATTGCAAATCTTCATCATCATGATCATGATCACCATCATCAGCAGCAACAGCAGCATCTGCCACAGTTAATCCACAAGATGAGTATGGTGTGTAGGCATTTGATAAACGCCTATTGAACGGAACATCTGCTGGTGGTGTAGCATTGCCTGAAAATGCATTTTAGTTGTGCTTGTCATAGGTGTTTCTGTGATAGCTGGAGGGTGTTGAGTGTAGGCACACAGTCTAGTGATGAGAGGGGCACTCATATATGTGCTGATGGAAATATGGATAATTGCCAGGAGGGTGTCTGTACAAGTAATGGCTATAGGGAAACAATGAAGGTTGTAGGATTGAGGATGATTGACTATAGTGTCTGTAAACACAACAGCTGTAAGATGATAGAAGGAATGGCAGTGTCTGTGGAGGTGACAGCTTTAGTGATGATAGCTAACGTGCACTGATGGCAATGGGGATGATCGCAGGGATGGGTGGTTATAGAGGTTATGGTTGTAGGGGCAGTGGCTTTCTGGTGACAGCTGTTGGCACAAGTGTTGTTAGCAGTGGTGATGGTCATTGAGGCTGATGGCCATTGGGGTTGACAATAATGGTAGTAACGACAGCAATGTTCCTGAAGATGCAAAGTGACCAGGCACATTGATCCAACAGGCAGGCAGACTGTCTACCTCCTGGTTTCTGAATTCCAGTCAGTGAGTATAGGACTTGAATAAGCCATAGAGCAAAAGGACTAGCGATGAATGGCGTGAGACAACATGGTTGGGACTTTTCTCTGATCGTTCAACTCAAGATCTGTCTGCATCAGAATCTCTGGAGACTAAAGCTGGGACTTCCTTCCTCCCTAGAGGCCAGCAGGGGCTGCGATTGCTGTAAGAGTTGGTCACGTGGCAAAGTTTCCTGTATGCTGCTGCCGCCGGGTGTCCATGGCCCGCACCCCCAAGTTGCCACTGCAACAGTCAGAGTGGCAGTCGGAGGTTCGGTCCATGCCGTACCCTCCGGACAGCGCTGGTGAGGCTGAGCAAGAGCCCTCTGCATCTCAACACGTAGGAGAGAACAGCAACAGCCAGAGCGGAGGACGATGTTGCGCCGCAAACCATCCAATGCCAGTGAGAAGGAGCCCACTCAGAAGAAAAAGGTGAGGGTATCTTTGAGAACTCACTTCTTCCTGTCTTCTGCCATACTCTCCACCAATCCTCCTGGACTCTTCAAAGTGGGAAGAACCAAGGCCATATGTTGAGATTGTAGGTGAGGGCCACCCTCCCAGAAAACAAAGAGACAGGACCTCAACGGTCGCTAGAATAAAAGTACAGAGGACACTTTTTAAACTCTGGAGTTACAGAGATATGGGTTAGAGCCTTAGAAGTTTAGAGTTACAGAAGCAACCATACTACGATGGGATTAAAGAACTAAAATTAAGGGTTAAAACCTTAGACGGCAGTTTACGGCCTATAAAGTACAATGTTCAAGCTGAATCCAAAGAGTGTACTTAATTCTGTCTCCCCTAGCATGGCCCCATATCACTTCTGCCCAAATGTCTTCTCTTGGGAACCATCTCATTCAAAGGGCCCCACTGGCCTACCAAGCCAAAGTAGGTCTAGGCTCCCTACTTTTTGGCTAGAGTTGTGCTCCTGCCTACTGGGCTCATATCTACTGTCACTCCCTAGGCTTCTGGAGATGGGGCCTCTGCTGATTTTTTAGACTCAGGAAAAATGCCCACCAAAATACAGTAGAATTCATGGGGGTTATACAGATTCTTCCTGGGCAGGGAGAATTTGCTTGTGAAAAATGAGAAATGAAGCTATGAGCCAGTGAGTAGGTGTGAAAGCTGAGGAGGAAAATTTCATGGGGGAGGGAGAGAGATTTCAATGGCCAGGAAGGAAGGTAATTGTCATAGACCGCTGAGGTATTGATCTTCCTGCTGACGCAACTAGACTGGAAGATTCTTGAAGACTGTTGTATCCAAGTTTCTCTGGTTTGATGTGCAGAGATCATTTTATGGTAAGATTCTCCTGGTCAATCAGCTAGTCTAGTCCACACATCTAGTCAGATGACAGGAATGTTCCAAAACAGGTCTGACTAAATTCAAGTGCCCAAGCCACAATCAAGGGCTCACAGACCTTCACTGTGCTCTACCAATTTTCCCTGGAGCTCAGGTCAGGTGTACTTTGGGGGAAGGCCCCTTGTCACGAGAACAGTTCCCAGGCAGAGGCCAAGACAGCTGAGAGACAGGCTCAGGGCACTGGGGTGTACATCCTGTCCTATCTCTCAGGTCCTGGGTGACTGCCACTTTTGGGTATACTCTCCTACCCCAGCTGCTTCTCTAAGGTTGCAGTGGTGGTTGGTGGGGGAGGGGAGAGTCATGAATCTTCACACGGGACCCTGTCACCCCCCGCCTTAACTAGGCCTGAAAGGCTTGCCATTGGCTGCCACTCTTCAGAGCCAGGCCACTTCCCCTTGCTCTCTGGCTCATGAGGGTGGGAAACAGAGACTGTTTTATAGACACTGGTAGGCCCCAAACCACAGGGGAGTCAAGCTGGAGGAAAGGATTTAAAAAAGAGCTGACATTTTTTGACACTGGGACCTTATGCTACCTCAGGCACAGGTGTCCTGAGGCACTCAGAACCAGGAAGCTCTCTCTTCTTTCTTGTCTCTAATTACTTAGATTCTGTGTTTGTGGGTTGACCTCTGAAATTTCCTCCAGACCTCTTCTAGAAGACTCTGTGGTCTGCATCTTTTAGAGAATAGCAGTTCAGACAAAGTGTATCTCACCCCTGTAGAGCCCATGCCAGCCTCTGGGAGCCAAAATGAGCTTGCCCCCACACACCCCAAGTTCCATACTGTAAAAATGCCCTCAGCATAACCAAGTTTTCAGGAGTCATGGCATTTTCCCGAGACCCAGAGGCAGTAGCCCAGCTGCATTTGTGCATGCTAGATGACCGTGGGTGAGTTCCTTCCCTTTGGAGACAGAGGTAATGTGGTGGAAGGGAAGGCCCAAAGACAGGAGAACCCTCTCACCTGCTCCTGCTTTGCCTCCTCATTCTGCCAAATGGAATATGTGCCATGCAAAGGGGTGAGGGAAGTGACAAGAAAGTGGAATTGGAATCCTGCTGTAGGACCCTGGATAGTTCATTGACTTCCTGTGGGTCTCGGTTTCCTCATCTCTGAAAAGGACGGTGAGTGCTGATCCTGGGAGGTAAGGATCACCTGAACAAATAGTTGTGAAAGCACCCTGTAGCATGTTTGTTCATGCCCACAAGGGGGTGCTTGCTTTGGGTTGGGCAGACATGGGGAGCACACCACAAAGAGTAAGCCATGGTCTCAGCACTGAAGTAAAGGAAACGAGACTTAACAACATGGAGAGCCACTGTTGAGGGAAGGCTCATCAGGGGCCATGCCTTAGTCATCACTTAGCTTGCTGACTTCTCATTACAACCTTGCAGAGTAGAGACAGGTATTGCTTTTATCTTTTTCTCACCTGAGAATCAGACCACTGAAATTTGCTGACACTCTTGCAGCTAGTGCTCTCCAAGGGATCCAAGCCATGATGCCTAGCTTCAGAATCTTCCCTCCTGAAGCTCCTTCCCTCTTGTCTGCCTACTGATCTCAGAAGCACAAGACTTAGTCCACCAGTAGGAGAGCTTTCTTGGGTAGACCCAGACAGCTGTGGACTGAGCAACCAGTCAACAGAACAGAGGAGAGAGTAGGCCTTTAAGATGGTAAGGTCGGGCTGGAGAAATGGCTCAGTGATTGAAAGCACTCTGTTCTTACAGAAGACCCAGGTTCAATTCCCAGCACCCACATGATGGCTATCAACTCTGGTTCCAGGGGATCTGGCACCTTCTTCCGAACTCCATGGGCATTACACGCGAGTACACTTACACACATGCAGATAATACACAAATACACATAAAATAAAAATAATAAATAAAACATTTTTTAAAAAGATGATAGAGTCAGAATGTAGCACCTTCTGTGGCTCTTGAAGGACTGGGGAGGCTCCAGAGTCAGAGGATATATCCCTTAACTGCCCATCAAATTCTCGCTTTGTTCCTTTTGCTCTTACTTCGATGGTGTCGGGGAGTAGGAAGTGGACAGAGATTTAATTGGACTCGTCTCCCCCAAAGATGACCCTTTTGTACTGCATCTCTACTTTCCATCACCTCCAGACCTCCCACCAAGGGAATTGGAAAGGAAACTGGGCTCACATTCAAGTGCTTAGCTGCTGCCTCCATCCAGCCTCTTCCTCTCTCTTCCCTAATGCTGGATCACTGCTCCTCATGTGGCTTCCTTGCTACAGCATACTTCTAGCATGACACCCGCAACAGCACATGCTTTGAATTCTCAGTACAGGATGAGCATCCCCATTCTGAAAATCTGAAATGCTCTAAATTCTGAAGGTTTTTAAAAGCCAACATGATGCCACAAGTGGCAAATTCTATACCTGAACACATGTGACAAGTCACAGTGAAAGCATAAGCACACAATAAGTGTTACATGAAATTACCTTCAAGCTGTGTGTATAAGAAGTATATGAAACATAAATGAAATTCATGTTTCAACTTGACTCCCATTACCAAGATATCCCATTACATATATGCAAATATTGGAGGTGGTTTTTTTTCTTCTTAGAAACCTGATGCGCTGAAGAAGTAGGTCAGTTAGTAGAATGCTTATCTAGTATACATAAAGCCCTGAGTTCAATCCCCAGTACCACATAAACTAGGTTTTGTGGCACACAGCCTTGTAATCCTAGTACTCCAGAGGTGGAGGCAGAAGGATCAGAAGTTCAAGATCATCCTCTGCTACTTAGCAAGTTAGAAGCCAGTCTGGAGTACAGGAGAGCCTATCTCAAAGAAGAAAATTGGAAATGTGAAACGCTTTTGGTTCTAACTATTTCAGATAAATGATATTCAACTTGTGGCTCCTCACTGTCCAAGGATAATGCCCACATTCCTTTGCATGGCTAGCAATGGCCTTCTATTACCTTTTCTGACTGCCCCTAGCTCTCACTCTCGTTCAAATGCTTCCTAGCCCCACGTGGAAAAATATCCATCTCCTGTCTGAGCTTATTCAAATGTGCCTCATCCACACAGCCTTTCTGAATACTTCCTCTGCAATTGATCTTACCTGCTCTCCTGGTGACTCCAATCAAACAACACCTGTAGTCAGCACTGTAGTCAATGCGGTGATTTTTATCTTGGAGTAGGGGTGACTGCGTGAGCTAGGAGTGGAACAAGCAGTCCCGTGTGTGTCCTTCTAGTGTTCCAGACCTGGGTGTGAGAGTGCCTGCTCTTCAGCTCCACTACCACCTGTGGGACTCTGCCTGGAATATTTATTTCTCTTCATCTCCATTTCTTCCACTGATAGACATTTGATATGGGGCTGGTGATGCTGGAGCAGGCTGGCACATGTGAAGAACTTGTCGGAGTGCCAGGCATATGAGGAGTGGTTAACCTTTAACTGATGGTTTCACATACATACACAGGCTAGGACCCAAAGAAGCTTAGAAAGCAATTCAGGGAATACCTAGGAAAGGAGTTCCACTTGGGGCACTGTGAAACTATGAGGGTGGTCAGAGGAGGATTTCTCTAGGGCTGCTGCCTCTGAAACTGAAGTGGAAAACACTTTTTATCGGAGCATGATATCCATACAGTGTTTCCATCAAATGGACATCCCTAGGTAGGCAGCACTCAGATGAAGAAAGAAACCATTTCTGAAATTCTAGAAGCTTCTCTCACTCTCCTGCCTATCAACACATGCCCTCTTCCCCAAGAATCACCACTTTCCTGACTTTCAACAGCATAAATGAGTTCTACCTCTGTTTTGAAGTGTGGTGTGTAGGTAGAATTATGTGGCATATACTTTTGAGGAAGCTGACCTCTTTTGCTCAACTGTGTATTGGTGACATTTATTCATATTGTTGGGATAAAGAATATTGTTGGGATAGTTGTATTGCTAGTTACAGTTCTCTTCTATGACTCTAACACAAGTTGTCCATTCTATAGTTGGTGGGCATTTGCGTTGTTTCCAGATAAATTGGAAATGGGGGAAGGAGATTTCTCTCCTACAGTTGACAAAGAGAAGTGTAGCCCATTTTAAGTGGGGAAATGTGCAGAATAAGTTTGCAGGTGGGTCGTACAAAAGGCTAATCGTAAACCAGCATCCAATGAAGGATGAACGTGCCAGGAAATATTCTAAGCGCTATATGAGGACTTACTCAATTCACCCTTACAGCTACTCAATGTAGTAGATTTTTTTCTTCATTTTACTAATGAGGAAACAACAGCATAGAGAAATTAGTAATGAACACAACTAGTCAGTGGCAGAAAAGAAGAAAGTGAGGTTCAGAAAGTTTAAATAAGTCACCTGAGGACACATACACCACAGTTAGGCTTAGCAGTATCCAATACCCAAAGTGTAGGTGTTTCTTAGAGGCCCACCAGTTCCCCATAGACTAGAAAAGGAGACTAATAGTACATGGTACTTCCTCACCTATATGCATGACTTCCAGCCAGTCCTCATCCCAAAGGGAGGACAGGCAAAAAAAAAAAAAAAAAAAGGGGGGGGTTGGCTTGTGAGCTGGGTCAACAGATTAAAAGGTGCTTGCCACCAAGCCTGGTGATATGAGTTTCATCCGAGGGAGCTCGGGCCAGGCATGGTGGCACACACCTTTAATCCCAGCAGTCGGGAGGCAGAAGCAGGCAGATATCTGTGAGTTCAAGGCCAGGCTGGTCTACAGAGCAAGTTCTGGGCCAGCTGGGGCTACAGAGAGACCCTGACTCAAAAAGACCAAAAAAATGGGGGTTTAAGAATTTCAGCACCTGTGGACTGGGTTACCTCAAAGTAACCAAAAGTCAGGATATTTGGGACTGCTCCTGAAGTTGGAGGAAGGCCTGGTAAAAAGCCACCCTAATTGACTCTTTCGCTTGGTCATCTAAAGAACATGTGCTTTTTTTATTCATCTTCTTGGACTGAGGAGTGGTCAGCTGGGTCAAAGCCCTAGGACTACCTCCATGACCCTTTTGGGTTGTCCCCTCATGCTATGCACTCAAGCTGGGACAGAGGGGCCTTCACAAGGTCCTGGGAGTCAAAGTCCTCTCCCCCCGGGTCCTCAGACTGCAGATTAATGACAGGAAAAGGCCTGGGGAAAGAGCTACGATTAGAGAGCAGCCAAGTAATGAGTTTACTCTTCCCTAACAAAGCCTTCTTCCGGCCCCACGCCTGCCCTTCTGCTTGCTTTCCAGACTCCCCAGTCCCTAGGGTTTCATGGGCGACTCTCAGCCTCCTGGACTGCAGACTAGGCTAAGGGGTGGTGGAGGGAAAGCTACAATAGGCCCCATCAGCCAATAAATAGCAGCCGAGTGGTGAATTTGACTTACACCCTCCTTGGGTCCCAGCCAGCCTGGTGCCCACCCTCTCTCTGTTCCCGCTTTTCCATGCAATAAGAGGGGGAAGTCATCCAGGCAGCTGCATCCTACCATACAAGAGAAAGAAACAAATGGAAGGTAGAAAGGGGAAAGAAAGGGAGAAAAAGAGGAAAGAATAATGGGGGGCCTGAGAATAGAGGATGGAAGAGATGCATGGGAATCATGGCAGTCATCCCATGGTCAGACATTCCTCTACACTTACTCATAGCCCTCTTTTCCAGGTCTCTAAGGTAGCACAGAAGAAGCATACTAACTGAGGCTCCAAGCACCCCACTTATGAGGGCCTGATGAAGCTGGTGTCTGCTTAGCCCAACTGTTGACCTTGTTTCTGGTCAACTACCTCTAGGAATATGTGACCTTGATTGACTCCTGATTGATGAATCAGCTTTAGTCAAGACTCAGGAAGAGTACTAGGTTGCCATATTGCAGTCCCTGGGTGTTACAACCAATTGTGCTTGTTGAGGGCAGGTCACACTGCCCCATGCTCTGGGGGCTTCGCCATTGGACACACCTCCATTTAGTAGGAAGGAGGATGTGAAACCTTCAGCTTTGTGTGGGTTTGGGGCTTTGGTTCCTCAAGTCCTTATCTCAAGTGTCTACAGTCTATCCCACTCTATCTGTCTGGCCATCTGTGAACTGTGGTTCCTGTGGTATGTCTTCTGGTCTTGACTGTTTATCATGATACAAGCATAGTCCTATGGCCTGCCAACCTTACCTGCCTTGCTCTAGTTTCTGGCTATATCTTGGCATGTGCATGTGTATACAATTAAAGAGCACTTCCTGATGGCCGTCTCATCAACCCAAACAACAGGTCATGAAAGTCCAAACACTTCCATCCAAGTCGGCAGTTGCCAGCTCTTCACATTCGTGGTTAAGGTAAAAGCTGAGGTAAATAAAGAGAAAATAGTGAGCAGGGTGTGGTGGTGCATGTCTTTAATCCCAGCACTCGGGAGGCAGAGGCAGGCGGATCTCTGTGGATTCAAGGCCAGCCTTGTCTACATAGCGAGTTCCAGACCAGCTGGGGCTACAGGGAGGCCCTGTCTGAAAAAAGACAGGAGAGAGAGAGAGAGAGAGAGAGAGAGAGAGAGAGAGAGAGAGAGAGAGAGAGAGAGAAAAGAGTGACTTTCCTCTTGGATTGGTTTTTGGTTTTTTTAAGACACAGTCTCCCTGTAACCCCAGCTGGGCTGGAACTCAATATGTAAACCAGGTTGGCCTCTGCTGCCCAAATTATAGGACTAAAGGCATGTGCCACTATGCTCAGCCAATGGTGGTTTTCTTTAACTAAATTAGCTCCAATTATTTATGTGCCAAATCTAAGGGCACCTTTAAAAAATATTTTCTTCTTTATATTTTATGTGTATGAGCGCTTGCATGGAGTGTGCCACATGTGTGTAGTACCCAGAGAGGCCAGAAGAGAGCATTGTATCTCCTGGAACTGGAGTTACAGATGCTTTCTAGGTGCCATATGGGTGTTGGATTTAAACCTGAGTCCTCTGGAAGAATAAAAGTGCTCTTAACTGCTGAGCCATTTCTCCAGCCCCTTTCTATAAGTAAGCCTAAACTGTGGTTTTTCCAGAAAACCACATTATGCCAAACTTCTAGTGGAATTGCCTTGATCTTCCTGGGACACAAATGCCATAGGCTGTGGACCTGGATATGTTTGCCCAGTCACTGTGACAGCAAACCTGACTCGATGTACACCCAGGGTATGGAGGCCAGTTATGCTTCTGGGAGGGATTTGCTCTCAAATAACTTACCACGATATTTTCATGTGTAAAGAATACATTGACTCTGACCCGTCGATTCTTTCATGCCAGGGTTCTGAAAACAAACCAGGTACTGGTGGAAATTTAGGCCTAGTCTGGGGCTTCACTGAGGTGAGAGGTTCCTGAGGTCAGGAGCTTGTTCTGTGGCTAGGAATAGGATGAAGCATGGGATGAAACCACACATCTCCCAAAGCATCTTGGTCCTTCACCTCAGGGCACATATGGCTCTGCCCAGCCTGATGTAGGCCTATGTGCCTGGGTGTGCGGGAAACACACCCACCCCTGGGGAGCACCACTGCTTACAACACATCTGTTTCTTTCAGCTCTCACTTCAGCGCTCCAGCAGCTTCAAGGATTTTGCCAAATCCAAGCCCAGCTCCCCTGTGGTGAGCGAGAAAGAATTTAATCTGGATGATAATGTAAGTTTCGGAGACTCTTTGGGGTATACTGGATAGCGAAGCTGGGGTGGGCAAGATGGAGGGAAAAGAGGAGATATTAAGATTATTGGGGCAAAGCTTCCTTTAACACAGAAGGTCCACTTCTCCCAGGTACCAAATTTCTGGGTCCCAAACATTCAGCTTATATAATTTCCCATTAAGTAGCAATTACTCATTAAGTAGCAAATTAGTCACAAATTAATAAGGCTGAGGACTGAGTTAGGGCTGAAGGAAGTGGGAAGGGCTCTCAATCCCACTCCCTCCACCCTCTGCGGGGACCCAAAGGCCTCTTTGTACACCAAGACCTGGATTCAACCCAGGGTCACCAGAGTGACCTCTTCTTTTGTTGTCACAGATTCCAGAAGATGACTCAGGTGTCCTTACCCCAGAGGATACTGGGAAGAGTGGCAAAAAGTTGGGAAAGAAGTGGAGGGCAGTCATTTCCCGAACCATGAACAGGAAGATGGGCAAGATGATGGTGAAGGCCCTGTCAGAGGAAATGGTGAGGCCTGAGATTCAAGGGTGGAGTGCGGCAGGGAGTAGGCAAGGAGGCTGCTCTGAAAGAGAAGTTAGCATGACCATCTGGATGGTCATTACTTAGGTGTGAAGGCCCTGCTCAGCACAAGCAGATGGTCACATCTGAGGGAGAGGCACCACCAGCCATGGACGGCACAGCCAAGAAATCCCGAGAGGGCAGAAGGCTGGGTGGGAAAGGGTTAGGTCAGAGAAGAGATAAAAGTCCAGGCAACAGAAGCTTCCTGTAAAGACAGGCAGGGAATGGGGACAGAAGAAAAGAAGACGACATCACCTGAGACAAATATGTCTACCTCAAAGCTTTGCTTGGAACCAGCCCCTGGGATTGGTTGGGAAGGCCTGATTCCAGGAGGATATAGAGAAAAAATACAGATGCTCCTCACTTTACCATAAAGTTACATTCTGATAAACCTATCATAAATTCAAGATACAGTGAGTATGGACAACCCGTAACCTGCTGAACACCAGATCTTAGCAACACAGCACCATGTCAAGTATCACTTATTTCCCCTCACAACTTTGTGACTGATGGAGAGCTATGACTCGCTGCTGTTACCCAGCATCACCAGAGAAGATCACACTACATAGTGCCAGCCTGGGCAAAAATCCAAATTCAAAATTTAAAGTGTGACTTCCATCCAACAGTATCGCTTTTGCAACCATCAGAAAATCAAATAGATTTTAGATCTAAAGAGATGGCTCAGCCATTAAGAGCATGTACTGCTCTTGCAGATAACCTGAACTCAGTTCCTAGCACTCATGTTGGACAGCTCACAACAGCCTGTAATTTCAGATCCAGGGCATCCAGTGTCCCTTCTGGATTCCGAGAGCGCCTTCACTAATGTATGCGTGCATGTGCGTGTGTGTACACACATACACAAAGAATTTTGAAATAATATAGATATTTGGGGCTGGAGAGATGGCTCAGCGGTTAAGAAAGCTGGCTGTTCTTGCAGAAGACCCAGGTTCAAATCCCGGCACCCACATGGCAGCTAATAACTGTCCGTAACTCCAGTTCCAGGGGATTTGACAGCCTCTTCTGTCCTCTGTGGGCATTGCACAACACGGGTGCACTTACCTACATGCAGGCAATACACGCATACACATAAAATAAAATAATATAATAAAATATTTAAAAAGTAATATAGATATTTATAAAAGAAAGTCAAATAAATTATAAGTCAAACCATTATTAAGTCAGAGACTGTATAGAAACTGGAGGTGGCTAGCTTCAGCCCAGGGAGGAAGGTGGCACAGTGAGCTGCGGGGCAGGCACAGCCCAATAGCTTTTAAGCACGCACTGAGGCTGCTTGTGCTTGACGTTCTTATAGGAGTTTCAAATGCTGGAGTCTTCCTTTGAGTTTCATATGCTGGAGTCAGCTCTACTAGCTTGTAAGAGCAGTTGGCTATATTGTCATGAATTTTGAAAGCCAGATGTTAAATGCAACCATTATTAGAAATCAAGTTCTAGAAAGACAGTGATCAGTGGTAAAGTGCTTGCCTGGCATGTGCAAAGCCCTTGGTTTGATCCCCAACACAAATAAACACACACACACACACACATACACACACATATACACACACATACACACATACACATGCACGCATGCACCCCCCCCACACACCTTTAAATTAAATAAGAGTCCATGGAAAACAAAGGGATCCCATAAATCTTCAAAATTTATCATTTCCTAATTCTGCTGCTTACTCTTATCCATGTTGCTGTTGTGTGTGTTTATACTATCTATATAATGGAACTAACCTAGGTATCTCTTGTAACAACTCATCCAGGGATATGTGATTGGTATACGAATGTTGACCATCATGGACAGTATTTACAACACAGGAATTGGCAAACCATCCAGTCCTTTATTCAAGGAGAACTCGCTTTTAAACACCATACTGAGATGCAGTGAACTGGGAGGAGATCTGGAGTTAGGTGACTTGGTTGTGGTTTCCCACAGTTATTCAAAGTTATTCAAAGTTATCTTAAAACCAGGCCAACCATACCACTTTTCTTACAGTGTTACTGTGAGGATTAAACAAAATGGTAGGGGTCTCTCTGATACACAGGTGTGTGGACAACAGTAATTCGCTCCCAGGCACCACTGTCTGCCTGGGCCATAGCAAGAGGCCTGAGTCCAAGCTTAGCTACTCTGGCCTCTTCTGAGCATTTGTTCCTCCGTACCATGGTGGATCTCTTTCTGTGACCTAGCAGAACCAGGCCTGCCATTCTAATTTTTACAAAAGAAGAAACTTCAGCGAGTGTCACCAAGCCCGTAGGTAACAAAACTGTAGTTTGAACCAAGCCTACACCCAATTCCTCTGTCCTGGGGACTGACCTCTGTGCACCCCAACAAGGCTGCTCAAGGCTTCTGCCATCATCCCTACAGGGAGACACGCTGGAGGAGGGTTCAGCCTCACCAACATCTCCAGACTGCAGCCTGGACAGCCCTGGCCCTGAGAAGATGACCCTGGCCTTTTCTGAGCAGGAGGAGCGTGAACTCCCAGTGCTCAGCCGCCAGACATCAACAAGTGAGTAGAAGAGGTGGGAGGATGCATGCCAAATCTGGAGGAAAGGACTAGGCTAGACTGGGGACTCTCTGGCACAAGGATGAAAGAGAAATGAATATTTTCCATCTACATGTTAGAACTTTCCTTATCCTTTTCACATTAAAGCTGTACTGTTATCCCCACTCTGTTGATGTGGAAACAGGCTCAGAGGTTAAGCCAGGTGACCCAGTCTTGAGCTTAGATCTGCCTTGCAGGAGCCTTGCTGTCCCAGACCTAGAGAGGCCCCAAAGCAGAGGAAGAGCCTCATTACCCTCTTGGATCAGCCTGTCCTCACCTTTCCAAGGATGTCTGTAACATCTCAGCCTGGGGTTCAGTTAGAATTTTCAGTTTTAAAGAGTCATGCTCTTCGACCCAAGATCTCAGTTTATTCAGCTTATGGCACTATTTAACATCTAAAAGTTCAGGGGTTAGACAAGAGGCACCCTTCCTGGAGAAGTCCCTCAGGCTCATCCCAACTTTGCCACTCTTTCTCTGGCTCTACAGACACCTCAACTGTCCCCCACTGAAAGCCACTTAAAATGCCCATCATTTTGCCCTACTCAGAAAAAAAGCATGCCTGCATTTCCATAGGACCTTGTTACTGAACATTTCGTCTTACTGCAAGGTGTATTCTCCTGGGTGGAAGGAGCACTGGAGTGGGAATAAGTGGACCTGGAGTCTGTGTACCTAGTGTTGCCAAGTGAGAGGCCTTGGTCAGGTCACTTGGCCTTCCGGGACTCCAACATCCTCATCTGTTCAGTGAGGTGTTGGCCCAGAGACTCTCCAGACCACCCATTCTTTAGTCTGTGAGCCATTTTCCCTCCAGCTATTAACTGTCCCCCACCATTATCCGAGTCCCTAGAGGTGAAGCTATGTTTCCCCTGAGTGGCTGAGGTGACAGGTCCAAATCACTCCAGCAGTGTGAAGCTTCCTAGAGTATGATTTCTGTCCCCAGTGTGTATCCTTGGGAGACTCTAGAGAGCCCCTGTTAGGCACCATCTACCCCAGCTTTCCTGGAGTAAAGACAGGCTTCCTCTCTGCAGGCAGTGAGCTCTGCAGTCCCAGTCCAGGCTCTGGAAGCTTCATGGAGGAGCCACCTGCTCCCCAGTACACCGGGCCTTTCTGTGGGCGAGCACGAGTCCACACTGACTTCACTCCCAGCCCCTATGACCACGACTCACTGAAACTGCAGGTAAGGTTGGCATCTGGGCCCCTTCAGAGCCTGGCAGGCTTTAGCCATAAACTGAGCAAAAGCAGGACAGTGTCCACAGAAGGCAATGGTTTCCTCCCCTGCTTTCCTCTTCTCTTCTTCCCCCACAGAAAGGAGATATGATCCAAATCATTGAAAAGCCACCTGTGGGCACGTGGTTGGGCCTGCTCAATGGCAAGCTGGGCTCCTTCAAATTCATCTATGTAGATGTGCTGCCTGAGGAGGCTGTGGGGCCTGTGCGCCCCAACCGTCGACAGAGTAAGGGCAAGAGACCAAAGCCCAAGACTCTGCATGAGCTGCTGGAGCGCATTGGCCTGGAGGTTTGAGCTTGGACTTGCACTAGTATGTGGGAGCAAGGAAGGCATACTTGTCCCTGGGATAGGGGCCAGGGGGCAACAGCTATGTGTAGGGGGAAAGTTCCAGGCAGAGGTGGCTTATAAGCAAGAGTGTTTTGGTGGCCTGCCTCTACCCCCAGGAACACACATCCACACTGTTGCTTAATGGCTACCAGACACTGGAGGACTTCAAGGAGCTGCGGGAAACACACCTCAATGAGCTGAACATCATGGACCCACAGCACAGGGCCAAACTGCTCACAGCTGCAGAGCTGCTGCTCGACTATGATAGTGAGTGGCGGAGTGGAGGGTGGTGTAGGGGGTTGTAGAATAAGTGTTCACTGGCATTCCAGGGAGCAAAGGCTTGCCTTGGCCCAGCACTCTCATCACATTCTGCCCCACAGCCCCCGTTGTAGGTAGGAAGGAACTTTTCACACTTGAATTGATATACCCAAGAAAATCTGAGGGAAAGTCAGAGGAATGATCGGACTTAACTCCCTTTTGGATTAGATGGGTAACTAAAGCCAGCAAAGGCAAGGCATTTGCATGAAGCTGTGTAATGGAGCCAGAATTCAAGCCCAGGTGGCCTGGTTCTAGCTCAGTGCTGGAGAGATTGAGCTCTTGGGCCTGGGCACAACTCCCTCCTGCTTCTATACTAGAAGTGGGGAGAAGAGGTGCAGAGGTGGTGAGAGGAGCCAGGGGAGTCCATTGCCAACAGGAGATTTCCCAGCGTCCCCAGGTCCATGATCCCAGGGCTTCTGAAAACACCACCTACTTCACTCCCACCTCCACCTCCAACCTGTTCAGGACCCAATCCCTCCATTCTGTTTTTACCCCCAGCAGCTGGTAGCGAGGAGGCAGAAGAGGGCGCTGAGAGCAGCCAGGAGCCAGTGGTGCACACAGTGTCGGAATCCAAGGTGGACATCCCACGAGACTCTGGCTGCTTCGAGGGTTCGGAGAGCGGTCGTGATGAGGCAGAGCTGGCAGGCACAGAGGAGCAGCTGCAGGGTCTCTCCCTGGCAGGGGCGCCTTGAAGTAGAGATGGCACAGACTGAGGCTGAGAGGCTGAGCCCTAGCTGCAGAGGCTGCAGGAATGGGTGTGGCCTCCCATAATGACTCAGACCCAGACGACTGATGCAGAATCTAGCCCTGCTTCCCCAGAGGAACTTACAGCTGAAGGCCCTGCCAGGGCACTACGGCCTCAACTGGAGTGGATGAGAGACTGACCAAAGGCTTATCTCACCTACTGGACCCTTTCCCTCCACCCGTGACTGACAGCGCAACCCTTCCTGGTACCACGCACTCTCCCACCATGGCCACAGCAAGTGGTGCACCAAGGATCCTAGCCATGGCTACCACCACCAAGGCCCCCTAAACCTTCTTGCCCTCGCACCATTGTTGCACTGCTTCTAAGAAGGACACCAAATTAGTGTTTCAGGTCAGTCTCAAAACCCTAGGGAGGCTGGCCATTTCAAAGGACCTCAGTTGGGCATAGGTGAATCCAGTATTCCCTAAGTAAGATTTGGGGGAAGCTGTGTGTACCATTCCCACTACCCTCCTTGAAGTTTTAGAAGTCTGACCACTAAGTCGCTATGAGACTTGAACTACATGCCTGCCTTTCTTTGGTTTAGGCTTGGTCGGTATTAGAATGGCAGTTACTGAAGGCCCTGCCAGCTCTGATGTTCTGCATCTTTAAATATCTGCTGTCCTGCTACCTACCATCCAGGACACCAGTGAGCTTCTTGAGGAGGCTGGAGGGGCCTCCACTTTCAAATGAAATAGCTCCTCCTTCTCATTCATTTCATTCCTTCCCATGTGCCTCAAATTGAGCTGCAACTCTTCGCAGCTTGAAAAATGGCCATACCTCAAAAAAATAAGTGCACCCACCTGTTCTTTGGCCCCTTCAAATGAGATTTCCCACAAGGCTGATGGCAGATGATCACACCTGGCTTCCAATGACATAGCTACCTTTTGGAAGCCAGGTGCAAGTATGGGTCCTAGTTTGGCCATTTGTGTGGATCTTCACAAGCAAAAGGAGCCTTTTGCTTGACATTGGAGGGCACTAAACCCAACACTGCTCTGCTAAATGTTTTAGTGCCCTGAGCTCCAAAAGGTGTGGCAAAAGCAAGCCTGTGCCCTGAATCTCCCAGAGCATCCCTTCCTTGTACAGGGCAAACAGTGCCCACTATACATAAGATTGCCTGCTTAGTAAGTAGGCACACTTCTGACCTATTCCCAAGAACTTTCATAAAAGTTAGTTTGGGTGAAGGAGTCCCATGTACATAGAGGGGCATGGTGAGACAAATTAGTAGCAATAAATAAAAATGAACTTAATTACTGTTTCCAGTTATCTTTCTGATGAAGAGAGGGTTGGGGAAGGGACAGAAAGGTCTTCTTTAAAGCCAAACTCAGCAAAATTTTTCATGCATTGTCCTTTCAGAGCCAGCTTTCCCCTCCCCAAGGATACCCAATGTCTTTGACTTTGCTGACCCAATGCTCCATCTAAAAACTCCAGCTGACTCCACCTTTCCTTCCAAATAGTCCTACTGAGAACAGTGTTGAGGTGCCAATAGCCACAGGCCTTCCTGGGGTCTGCAAGCAGGCCAAAGTGGAGATATTTCCCTCTTCCAATTAATAATTCATGAAGTTCTTCACCCTTGCAAAGTGTCTACAGTGGGTGGGGGCTGCCCATCATACAAAAGTGGGACAGTTGGGATCTGCAGGGCTTTTCCTCTGAACCCCTCCTTCTGGGCCCCATCTTAGACACAACAAAGCTTCACCATCTCCTAGGATGTGTCACGGTGATGAAGACCCTGGGGTTCATTTTGGTTTCTACAGCATTACCTGCATTAAGGAGGCCTATTAGAGTGAGGAACGCCACCAGAGTAAGTATGAGGCCACTCTGCTTCCAAGCTTTCTTAGCTCTACTCATCCTACTGCTCATAAAGACTGTGGGCATCAGGATTCTGTGAGCATTATTCTCACATGAAAAACAAGAGCCCTGACAACCTCAAAGCCCAACAGGGACTGAATAATTACTGTCATTGCTATTTTATATATTGAGAAAAGTACCTTCATCATCATCATCATCATCATCATCATCATCCAATTTACTGAGCAGGCAACAGGCTCAGACAGGTTGAAGATGGTGACTAGGAAGTCACAGAGCAAGACATTTGCCTGATTTCCAAGCCCATGTTCTTAATCACTGTCTCACACTGCTTCTCAATCAGTCTATCAACAAGCTTTTCAAAGGCTCTGGGCAGTTCAGAAGAAATCTGACCCTTTGACTTAACCTTTCTTCTTCCATGATTTGTCCTATATAAAGAGCCACAGAAGTGTACAAAGATATATTGATAAATATATTCACAATAGTTGTGTCTGTAGTAGTAAGAAATTAGAAATGACACAAATGGCCAATTAGGTAGATTTTGGTGTGTTCGTACAACACCATGCAGCCACTAGAAACACAATGTTGTAGCAAACTATTTAATGGCCTGGGGAAACTTTATCATTTTCTCTACTCTTATCTTAAAAATTATATAATGTTTAGCATTGTTGTAAAAGAAGTTTATGTCATATTAATAAAGGCAAGTATTGTATGTTGAGCTAAGGAAAGGAAACCATACAAAATAAAGCCTGGAAAGGTTAGCCATATTGTTGATGGAGGTGGTTCTTGCAAAGAGCATGAAGTAAGCCTGAGGTAGTGACATCTTCACTATTCACATTCTTGTTTCTTTTGAATTTCAGAAGTATCTAACAACTATAAATAAAGCTAAATTTCTGGACATGGTAATGTACAGGACATAATAATGTACAGCACTTGGGAGGCTAAGGCAGAAGGATCTTGAGTTTAAGGCTATCGAGGGCTACGTAACAAGTTCCAGGCCAGCCCAAGCTATATAGCAAGAACCTGTCTCGAAAAACCTCACATACATACATATATGCATGTATGTATGTGTATTATATATATTATAAAAGTATAATTAACCAAATTAACAAATGAATAGTACCCAAAGTTCTAACCTCCAATACTGGGCAAAAGCTTCTGGAAAGAATGGCTGCAGGTAACTAATATCCAAAGTGTTTTAAAAAAATATATCATATGCCCCACGGGATCCCTAAACGTTTTAAAAATCCCTGGATAAGGACTGGGGTGTTGCAAAGTGGTAGAACTCTTCTTGTCTAGGATGCCTTAGGACTTGGGCTCCATCCCCAGCATCACAAAATAAAAATTTACAAACAACACCATAACCCTGGGTAATGGCTATTAGCTCTAAGTTGAAGAAGGAACTACTAGAAAAAGAGGAATGCTTGAGAAAATGACGTCTTGAAATCCTCTGTTGCCCTGGGGAATGGTCTCATAGCTATGGGACTCATTTTGGCCTCTAGCATGATTGATTACAGGCTGCAAGGAGGTAGCCACACAAGGGCCCCAACGATCACAGGAGGAGCAGGTAAGGAGGGGCCCCAAGGAAATGCAGACAAAAGACCAGGGAGTGAGGAGCAAGAAAAACAGGCCTCAGCATGGATACAGGTCAGCCCAAAGCCCCTTTTCCAGGCAGGGTTGTCAGAATCTCTTATCTCCCTTCCTGGACTTTCAGATGAATAGTGCCCCAAGCTCAGCAAACTGAAATCTGGGGCCCAAAAGCCTGATGCTTCACAGATGAGAGAACTTACACTCTCACTTCAGTCTGGGTATCAGAGGACCAAGAGACTGTATCTCTCCTTGAAAGGATGGGGAGAGGTTAGCCTAAGAGGGAAGATTTCTGCCTATGTGCCCATCCAGGGCCAGAGAACATCAAGCACAATTTACTCTAAAAAATAAAGTGACACCTGGCATTTGTGAATTTGAGACAATCTGAGTTCAAGTCTTAGATGCCACTTACTAACTGGGTTAATTTAAAGAAGTCACGCAACTTCCTTAAGTCTCAGTTCTCATACCATATGAAGAAAGAACAGTACTAGCCCCATGATACTAGTATATGTACTTTGCAATGAAGAGTGTGTCTTAAGTATCCCAATTTGCACCACTCTGACACCTCCATTTCACTCCCTTCAAGGCCATCTTCCCCTTGACCCTTAGTCAATACAGGATGAAAAATGACATTGGAGTTAGTTTTCAAGGTCCGGCACCACTACTCACTACTTACATGACTTCAGGTATGCTATATGTGCACTGCTTTTCTGTAAAATGGGAATAATAGTCTAATACTACATTTATAGAACTAAACAAGATAATAAATATCAAGTTATTGGTGTACAGTGCCAATAACAGGTATTTAACCTTTGGTAATTTCCAAAGTACTTATCTCAAAACTAGGCCCAGAGTCCATGTCAATATATATTTTTCCACAGACTGATATTCTCACCTGACATGGTCCAGAGACAAGCTGATACCCCCAAATACCCAGGAGAAACCCATGTTGGGTTTCAAGGGTCAGTTGAGGGTTCCAGTTCTGATGACAAGGAAGGTTGGTGATGGAGAGAAGGCTCATCTAAAGGAGCTTGGGGGCAGCCCTGAGGCCTGCCCAGTTTGTAGATGATTGGTCCTAAGCATTAGACTTCCACAGGTTGTAAGAAGGAAGAAGCTAAAGGTCCAGTTCAAGAAAGGGTTCAAGTCTGGCTAGTTACCACCCAGTTTCAAGTGACAGGCACATTTCCTTCTTCCCAGGAACCAGCACATACCAGCTGAAGTCTCTCCATTTTCACTTGCAGTCTCCTAATACTACCTACCTAAGACCACCTCAGGCTTAGGTAAGTTCAGCTCCCTAAAGACCTTCACACATTCTCTCTCCCACCTGCCCCCAACCTCAATAGCAGTGTGGGTCCAAGATGAGGCAGAGGCCCTAGTCCCTGCTGGTCACCTTCCAACTTCTCACTCATTCATTGAGCTCCCCACTGAGGCTTTTCATAGAAATAGAGGCTATAGTTGGACCATAGAGACCAAGGACACTGAAATAAAAGCTCAAAATAGTTTTTTCATAACAGAAAAAATGTATGTTGATCACTATGGTCCCAGCAGGGCCCAGCACCACCCCCCTTGCAATTCAGGAAATTCAGGATGAGGTATGAGGTTTCCAAGCTGGGAAAAGAAGTGGTTCTCCCAGCTCTCTTTCACAATAGAGCCTACCTTCACTTCTCACACAACGGTAGCCACATTATGTATTATTCAGCCAACAACACAATCAAGTGGGAAGGAACTACCTCCCCGCTGGATGCAGCCCAGACTCCTCCTCCCTCCAGGAAGGACCTAAATAAAAGAATTCTATAGTACTTGATATGTAGGCTTCACCTTTTCCTATAACTTCACAGTGACCAATATAGCATTTGTATACTATTGCCTCTGGGACCAGTTAGGGATAGCGTCAGAAAGCCAGAATGAGCCCAGGGCAATAGCCCTTACAAAGGCAGAGCCAACTTGATTGTGGGAACTGGCAAGGCAACTTCCTGACTTTCTATGCTAAAGAAATCCCACCACCAGTTTAAAACAAAAAACCAAATAACCAGTGCCATGACAACCCAGCTATATATGGTCAGCCCTCTGTGTGCCTAAAAGTGGAGACAGTGTCAATACTGTAACCCCCAAAATGGCAAATAATCCGAAATCCATTCCTGTGTCTCCACATACTTAAAGGAGAATGAGGTCAACAATGCAATTTCACCTAAAGTTAACCCTAGCACATGATCAAAACTCAGAAATTGCTTATTGAATGTGAGATAAATGAAAGGCTTATTGCATTAAAATGGCATTTGTAGTAATTTAAACCCCTTCTGTAATTTAAACTCCTTCTGTTAATACCTTAACAGAGAAGGAGAAGATTATACTAGAAAGCTTTCTGGGCTCGAAGTTAGTACATCTTCTGGTCTTGGCTCTATCCATAACTCTTTATGTGACTTTGCATAAGTCCTTGTACTTAATTTGGAGGAAGATCATGAATATGAGAGCGCAAACAAGCAACATAGCCCATGTGATCAATAGGCTCCTTTCAGTTATGTTGTTCAACAGAGCCTGTATTTTATGACAAATAATTGTCATGTGTCTTATTTGGACACAAATTCTAACTCTTTCATCCAACTTCGAACAGCCAAATAGCTATTGAAAGATAGTCAAACAGATGGGCAGCTGGCAGAAAAAAACAGTGGGAAGTTGGACTTCAAGAAAGCAAAGGAACGTGGAACATCAAAGCAGTAACTCTACTCCATATTTTGGAATTGTAAAACCGCTTCTAAATCAAAGGTCACTCATGTCCTGGCCCAAGGCTGAGTGTGAGCTCTAAGCTCTAATTTATTGATTGATCAGAAAACCATCTGATACCAGAAGAAAAATAGACAAAAGACTTGACAGACAATTCACAGAAGAAATACAAACAGCATTAAATATAAGACAGAAGAGAGGTACAGAAAATGTGTAATCTCACTACTAACCAAACAAAAATAAACTACAAGACACTGAGATATAGGCTGTCAACTATCAAATTACTGCATCAAAAGTTTGTATGACATGGGTTGAGGTACGTTGCTGGTAGCACAAACTGGACAGCCTTTCCATACGACAAATTGGCAAAGAGTGTGCAAAAGAGCATTCTCTTTGACTCAATAATTCTGCTTCTAGGAATATGTAAGGAAGTAACCACAGATATGCCCATACATAAGGAAGTTCATCAAGGCATTATTTAAAATGGTGAAAAATTGGAAACTCCTAAATATGTGATACTAGGGGAATGGCCTTAGACATATTACCAAGAAATATTTTCCAATAATTCCTAATGATATAGAAAGTACTGAGTTTAAAAAAATCAGGTTTAAAAATGATTATTTGGGGCTGGGAATGTAGCCCTCAGTGGTAGAAAGCTTACTTAGCAAGGCCCTGGGTTTAAATCTCAGCACTGCAAAAACAAATAAAAACTATATTTCTAGGTGGCTACACATTGTGTTTAAAGACACACACACAAAGGAGGGAAGGAGGGAGGAAAGAAGGAAGAGAGAGAAAGAGAGAGAGAGAGAGAGAGAGAAACACACCAAAACACTTACACCTATTACATCTTAGTGATGAGTTTAAAAAAAATTTCTCAGCCAGGCATGGTGGCACACACTTTTAATCTCAGCACTTGGGAGGCAGAGGCCGGCAGATCTCTGTGGGTTCAAGGCCAGCCTGGTCTATATAGCAAGTTCCAGACCAGCTGGGGCTACAGGGAGATTCTGTCTCAAAAAGGCACCAAAATTGTCTTATTTTCCCATATTTCAACCATAAAGTATGGATAATTTTTAAAAAGTGCATTGACAGTATGAGGGGAGGGAAATATTGTTTCTCTCTAAGCTTTCCAAATATTTTGAGTTAGAAAGGAACCTCTGAGACAATCTGATCCAGTGCTTCTCAACCCTAGCAGCCCTAACATTCCCTTGCTATATGCAGTATGTTATAATGTAACTTTGACACCCTGAAACGATTTTCAGAGTTAATATAGCCTATTTATACCTCCAAGGAGAGCAGTATTATGCACAGTCATTCTTCAATATCCATGGATTATTGATTTCATTGCCTCCCCCAGCACGGAAAGATACCCAAATCCACAGATTTTCATATAAAATTATGTAGTATTTGCATAGGACCTTACACACCCACCCCTGTGTACTTATAGTCATTTCTAGTATATTTATAATGACAAATACAATGTGAATCTTATGCGAATAGCTGTTATACTACATTGTGGAATACGGCACACACAGTCTATACATGCTGAAAGATGTAACTTTTTAAAAAAATATTTTATTATTTTTATTTTAAGTGTATGCATGTATGCCTGCATGTATGAAAGTGCACCCGTGTCATGCAATGCCCTTAGAGGTCAGAAGAGGGCATCGGATCCCCTAGAACTGGAGTTATGGACAGTTGTTAGCTGCCATGTGGGTGCTGGGATCTGAACCTGGGTCTTCTGCAAGAACATTCAGTGTTCTTAACCACTGAGCCACCTCTCTAGGCCTAAGATGTAACTTTTAAAAAACATCTTTCATCCAAGGTTAGATAAATCTGTGGATGTGGATGTGGAACTCAAGAATATAAAGGGCCAACTGGACTAGCTATATTATAAGGGGGAAAATTAAAAGGAAGTTATTTATGAGAACATGTATTTTAATAAGAATACCTTGGAATGATTGTACTAAAACACATAATAAAGTACAAGGTATACCCAATTATCTACAGAATCACTCTTGAATGTAATATAAATGTAGATTCATACAAGTAGGTTGTGTTGGCAACTTAAATACCCATGAATGGCACTATAGTGAGAGGAATAACTCATAGTAAGTTTCTGAAAAAAATAAACCACCTCCTTTCCCCACTCTACATAGTTGCTGCATCCCTGGAAACTCAGTGTATATTAATATTATAAAAATCATTTTGTATTTATTTGTGAAATTATCAGGACCAGCTGTTAAACCATTTTCCCACATATATTCATGATGTATTGGGCATTTGAAAGTTCTGCTGCTATATAGTTATACTTCCTATTCCCCTTTCATAGTTATCCAAAACATGAAATTCACCAAGATTCATTCTTGTATGTTGGGTTTGCATCCTTTAAAACTAATGATATTCAGAGTTTGAATCTTTGAGGCTATTTTTAAAAACTGTTGCCTAAGAACAGCAAGGGATTCTTAGAAAGTATATTCTCAAAAGTGACACAAATGCCTTTTGAATTATTTGGAACACTGCTCTTCTTTAGTAGCAACAAAACATAAGAACAAATTATTATCTTAAAAAAAATTTACAGTGATCTCTTGGTGATTTTTCTCTAGTCTGGCCCCAACCTCAGGAGCATAGAATGAACTGAGCTGGAAGAAAGGGGCTAACAGGGCCAGGCCACAGGGAGCAAGAGGGGGCTAAGTTGCTAGGTTACCACTTGAGCCAATCCAAGTGGTCCCACAGAGGTACCAGATATAGGACAGGCACTCCTCTCTTGGACCCACTAAGTTGAGGGCCATCTCAAAGGAAGGAGGAGTCAAAAGTGGGGGAGAGGCTGATCACTCACATTAGGCACAAGTAAATAAATGAGGCAGAAGCACAAAGAAACAGACAGCCCTGTATTTCTAAAATCATTCAAGTCTCCTTCATTAATTGGCTTCCCCCCAAAAGAAAGATTTCTTTATTAAGAAATACCAGGGAGTGAAAAACTCCCAACACATACACATTTGTAGGCTCACACAAAAGTGCAGAGATTTACATATTAAATTGCATTTAAGTTAGAAAATAGATTTAAAAACAAAATACTTTTCCCCCCAACAAGGTAAAGAGATTTGGTCAGTAGGACAGGAGGCCTCAGGGGTAAGGGCAGGACGGTCAGGATGGGAAAAATGGAATTTAGTGGCTATAGAATTACAACCCACCTCTAACCCAACCCCACTCCTGGGGAAAAGTGCAAAAGGGGCAATGATGATCTCAGCTAGGGCCAGGAGGGCCCCAGAACCAAAACGACAGAAATTTCTCCTGTTCTCAGAGGTTTTGGATCAGTGCCAACCATCCTGGCCTGGGGAAGTGGGGTGGGTGCATAGGAATCGTGAGGAATGAAGAGGAAGGGGAGAGTTGGAGAGAGTGTCAGCCACTGAAAAGATCAAACAATATAAGGCCCCTTTCCCCAGGGAAAGATCAATTCTTCAGTCTCTCCTCTGATCCGAGCTCAGACTAGGGACTGTCCCAACAGGTACATGGTATGAATGGGACAGGTCTTCAGGCCAAGGTCTTAAATACAGAACGTTTATAAAGAAAGAGAAAGTGGGCAAAAGAGTGTGAGGAAGCAGATTTAAAAAATCGTTTTGCACTGGAGATAAGACATTTCCATGTTAATCCTTCCCATCAGAAAGAGAAAGCTCTTCTGATTGGCCTAAGGGAGAGCAGGAGAGTAGCTGAGGTAAGTCGAGAGAGGAAAGAAAGCCATCTTGGCCCAAAATAGGAGATGGGCTGTTGACGGAAAAAAAACCCAAAAAGACCTAACTTCCACATTCTCCAAGATTGCCCTTATTTTGAACTAAGTGAAATCTAACTGAGAAAGCCAGAAAAAGAATGGGAAACAAGAAGCAGATAGGAGAGGAATCTGTGTCAATCTCTCTCCCAATGACTCTCTCTCCCCCAGGAATGTTAAGTTCAGATCCCACAACAAGCAAAACAGAAAGACACAGAAAAAAACCTGGGAGCAGCCAAATGTCACGAATTCCGTTAACTGGAAAAAGTGAGATAGGAGTCTTGATTATAGACATTTGAAAAGAAATACATGCTATCACGTGTAAAAGATCACTAATGAAATATCTCCAAGGGGAGGCCCTAGTGAGCCTACTTCAATAACCAAGACTTATTTGCAATTAACAGCGCTCATCTACTTAAAAACAACATCCTAAAAAGGAACATGTTCTCTTAAGTAAATGTAATCTTGCTATCCTTTTGATCTGTTCACACTGTATATTGCTCAGAAAGTCCTTGCTTCATAGTCCAGAATAAGATAAACTTCGGCCTAGAATGAAATATAGATCAATGGAGAGGTTGAATTTGAGAGCTGTCTCTTCAACCCAAGGATACCCTGGAAAATGGAAATATGGGTAACAAGCAACCCCTTCCAACCCCCACCCCCCCACACCCAACACACAAACACATTCACATCCCCATGGTGGTTCTTGAAATGGAGGGGGAAGGAGGAGGCAGGCAGTTTGCATTAGACACAGTTTAATTGCCTTCAAATAGAGTAAGAGTTCTGGTTCACACCCCCTCCCCATCCCCGTAAGTCATCCAGACAGGACCCTGGCTTAGAAAGAGAAAAACACAGGTGCTCTAGGAAATATAGCCACATATAATACATAAATCTTCTTCCCTGAAATAGTGCAGGTCCTGAGCAGAGCTGACTGGGGGCCACAGCCCACCCCCAGGATGAAGTGGCTCTGGGACTCTGCTGGTGGAAGTGCTGGAAGAGTGGGGCTTAGATGAAGCCCCTGGTGTGGTTACCATTGCCTGAGGTGGGCTGAGGCCTTGGAGTGGGATACCCGGGAGGGCAGCAGTGCTTGGGCTTTCCCTCTCTCAGCCGAGGCTTAATGGAAGTACTGTTTAGCCTTATTTTTTCTCTTTTTTTCTTTTTCTCTTTTTTTGTGGGGATGAAGAGGGAGAGGAGAAGAGAAGAGAAGAGAGGAGGGGAGGGAGGGGATAGGAGGGGAGGGGAGGGCAGGGGAGGAGAGGAGAGGAGAGCCTCTCTGTGCCTTGGTTTCCCCATTTGTGCATTCAGGGCCTCTGGAGGCCTTACACAAGAAGTCTGAGGGGGTAGTGTTTAAGTGAGCACTCAGGCTTCCTCTGAGGAAAAGGAACCACCAAAGTGCAGACTTTTATTACTGCCATTCCTGCTCCTAATGGGAGCAGGAGTCAAAAGAAGAATATTAAAATGGGCTAATGAGGAAGGAGAGGAGATGAGACAGAGAGTGTGAGGGGCTATGCTGTTGGCATCTCCTCAATGCTTATTGAGAATAGCACAGGCATTGAAGTTTCTGGAGAATCTATGAGAAATGTAAATTGTTATCTCTACTATGACTACTTACATATATCATCTAGAGTGGGGCTTAGATGTTAAGAGAGTGGATGGGGGAGAAAGGAGAAACTACACGAATAAATACAAGTGGAAGGTACCTGCCCTATTCCTAAAAGGATTGGCTGGCAATACTGGCACTTTTTTAGCCAGGAGAATCCTTCAGCCACACTCTCCATTCCTCATTGATTCTGAAGGAGCTAAGAGTCTAGTTGGGATTCCCTGGTCAGAGGTCTCTGTGACTGCCTCTGGACTCAGGACATGCAGCAGCTGAAAAGAACTTGAGCCAGTCTTGAGAATCTTTAGTCCCAGAATGAGACCAATGACTGCCAGCAGGAGAGCTGGGATCTGAAGGGAAGAGAAGGGGGAGTCCAAGCAAACCTTGTGGCTGAGACAAGGGAAAACAAGTGCCACGTCCCAAGAGACCCATTTGTCCAGTTGCCAGAGGTAACTGGCATCTTCTGTCACTGCCTTGAGTCTAGAAATTTTAAAAAAAGTTTGCAGCAAGAAAATGCCAGTGCTCAATTAGGTGACTAAAGACCAAAGGAAAATAGTAACTAAGGGACAGCTTATTTGCTCTCTGTCTCAGGTTTATCTTCTCCCCTGAAATCTCCCATAGCCCTAATTAAACACAAACAAAAGTCTCTTCCACAGATCAGCTACTTCTCAGCTTCAGTTGCCTCCTGTGGTGGCTCTGGGGGCTCTGGAGGTGGCATCTCTTCTGGAGTGCTGGTGTCCTCCGGCATCTCATTAGAGTTCATATGTTCTGTTGGGGCCTGAGAAGGGAAAGATATCAGATTCAACCCAAAGCTCTCTCTCAAAATCCAAATGCAGATAATCCACAACATCTGAAGCCCTCAACCACAGTGACACTAAAGGTGCAGCCACGGTCACCAAACTCGGACCTAAAGCCAGGCTATCATCTCAACAGAATCACTTGAAGCTTATTTGAGGTCTATCCTTAGCCGTTATGGATAGATATTTCCATTATTATGATAATAATAACAGGAACCAGAAATAATTGTATGCATGCACACCCATCACAACAGAATATTATAGTGTGCTTATCTAACAAGGTCTGACCCAATGGCTTTCGAGCCTGTTTCAGTCCTAACAGAATTTATTAGAATGGTGGTTCCAAACCTAAGAAAGTGGGTTATCAAATGATATATATGGTTTAAAATGTCTCATAAGTGATTCTAAAATAACATCCTCTCCCATATACAACCAAGACTGTTATGATTTAGAGCAGATTCACCAAAAAATTTTTATTCAAAATGATAACAATATAGAAACATGAGTTTGCTATTCTTGGCATGGTGGCGCACACCTTTAATCTCAGCACTCAGGAGGCCGAGGCTGGCAGATCTCTGTGACTTTGAGGCCATCCTGGTCTACATAGCAAATTCCAGGCCAGCTGGAGCTACAGGGAGACCCTGTCGCAAAAAGAGCACGTGTGTGAGCGAGCGAGCGAGCGAGCGAGAGAATAATCTTACAAAAAGTACACTCATAAAAGGAGGATTCTCTTTTAAAACAAAGTCTAAATCTAAAAATCTATTAGAATTAGGACATATTTGCTAAAGTTTCAGAATATAAGATTAATATACAAACAGTAATTGTGTTCCTATAGAATCCAATGAGAATCAAAAAATGAAATTAGGAAATCAATTTCATTTACATTAGCGTAAAAAAGAACTATATGTAACAAAAGAACTATAAAACTTAATGTTGAAAACTCCAACATGTTGTAGAAAGAAATCAAAGAAAATGAAAGTAAACAAAACTGACAGCCCATGTTTTCAGGTAAGAGCTCCCTTCCTACCTGGCAGAGAGCTGATTACCCACTATACCACCACTTGGGAGAAGACGAGCAGCAGAGAGACATATCTGGTGCCTCTAAGTGTGTTTTGCAAGTACTCTACCACTGAGCTACATCTCCATCAAATGATAGTTGTATTAATGGTTCAAAAAACCAAATCGTGTTAGAATCACAATATTCCAAAAATTAATCTAGAGAGTCAATGTAATCTTTATCAAAATTCCAGCTGGTTTCTTTGTAGAAACTAACAAAATTTAAGCCAACCCTAATGTTCATTTGGGATTTTTAAGGGACTGAGAAGAGCCAAAATAAGCATGAAAAAGAGGAATTAAGTCAAAGGACTCATAGTTCTGTTTTCAAAACTTAGGTCAATGCTAAAGTACAAAGATAGTGTGGTATAGGCATAAGAACAGACATATTGATCAACAGAATATAATTGAGAGTCTAGAAAGAAGCTCTCATAGTTACAGTCAATCGATTTTCAACAAAGGTATCAAAATAATTCAATGGAAAAAGGAACAGTCTTTTCAGCAAATGGCAGAAAGTCAACTGCCTATCCACAGGAAGAAGAATAAGTGTACTTCCTACCTCTCACCATGTATGAAAATTAGCTGAAAATGAACCAAATACATAAATGTAAAAGCTGAAACTAGGAAACTCTTACAAAAGACAGAGGTATAAATCTTCACAACCTTGGATTAGGTAACAGTTACTTAGATATGATCCCAAAAACAGAAGCAACAAAAGAAAAAGAAATAAAATGCAGTACATCAAAACTTAGAACATATGGGCTAGGGAGATGACTCAGTGGATAAAGTGCTTGCTGTGCAAACATGAGGACCTGAATTTGATCCTCAGAATCCAGGGGAAAAAAACTCAGATGGGGTTGCACACATTTCTAATCACAGCACTGAGGAGGCAGGATCAGCAGGGTAGTTATGGCTCACTGTGCAACCAGCTTAGGCTATGTGGCGAGTTTGAGGCCAGGGAGAGAGTCTATCTCAAAAAAAGTGGTGTGGGAAAGTACTTGAGGAACAACACTAAAATTGATCATCTGGCCTCCACACACATGAACACATGTATGTACACAAAAGATTTGAATAAACATTTCCCCAATGAAGAATGGTCAATACCTACATGCAAAGATGTATGACATCATTAGTCATCAGGGAAATGCAAATAAAAGCCACAACGAGATAACACCTCACATCTACCAAGGCTGAAATAAAAATGATCAGATAACCCATCAGATATTGCTAGTGGGGAAGAAAAATGGTGCAACCACTTTGGAAAACATCACAGCAGTGTCTGAAAAGATGTTATTGTTTTATTTATATAGAGTTATCGCATCACCCAGGAATTTCATTCCCAGGCATACAGCCAAGAATAATTAAAAGGTATGGCCATGTCTACACATAAATGCTCATAGTAGCACTGCTTATAATAACCAAAAGGTAGAAACAGAGCCTGTGAGATGACTCGGCTGGTAAAGGTGCTTCATGAGTAAGCCTGATGACCTGAATTCAATCCCTGGAACCCAAAGTGGAAGAAGAACAGACTCTTGAAAGTTGTTCTCTGACCTCTGCATATGCAATGTGGCATGCACATGTGCATGCGTACACACATACACACACACCCCATACACACATAATAATAATAAATAAATAATTTAAAAACAAAAAGGTGGGGGGCTGGAGAGATGGCTCAGTGGTTAAGAGCACTGACTGCTCTTGCAGAGGCCCTGGGTTCAATTCCCAGTACCCAAATGGCACTTAACAACTATCTGAAACTCCAGTTCCAGGATATCTGATACCCTCTTCTGACCTCTGTGAGCAATGCACAACATGGATGCACTTACACGCATGCAGGCAATACACACATACACATAAAATAAAAATAATAATAAAATATTAAAAAATAAATAGCCGGGCGTGGTGGTGCACACCTTTAATCCCAGCACTTGGGAGACAGAGGCTGGCGGATCTCTGAGAGTTCAATGCCAGCCTGGTCTACATAGTGAGTTCCAGGACATCTGGGGCTACAGGGAGACCCTGTCTCAAAAAGACCAAAAAATAAATAAATAAATAAATATAAAAAGGTGGACACAGCTTAATGTATATCAACTAGTGAATGCATAGATAAAATAAGGTATATCCGTATGATAAGATATTATTCAGTCATATAAAGGAATGAAATATTGCCACATTATAACACAGATAAGTGTTAACAATAATATGCCAAATGTCAGATGTGATGGCCCATGCCTTTAATCCCAGCACTCGGGAGGCAGAGGGAGGCAAATCTCTGTGAGTTTGAGGCCAGCCTGGTCTACACAGCAAGTTCCAGGCCAGCTGGGGCTACAGGGAGACCCTGTCTCAAAAAGACCAAAAAATAAATAATATGCCAAAAGCCGGATGAGGAATCACACACCTTTAATCCCAACATTTGGGAGGCAGAGGCAGGCAGATCTCTGTGAGACTACGACCAGCCTGGTCTACCTAGTAAGTTCCAGGCCAGCTGGGGCTACAACTGTCTCAAAAAGACCAAAAAATTATGCCAAGAGGGGGCTGAAGAAATGGTTCAGCGGTTACGAGCATTTAGTGCTCTTCCAAAGGACCTGGGTTCGGTTCCCAGCACCCACATGGTAGCTAACAACTGTCCAGTTCCAGGGGATCTGATGCCTTCTTCTTATATCTGCAGATTTTCATGCACATGGTGCACTTACACACATGCAGGCAAAACACTCATACACATAAAAATAATTAAGTTGGGCATAGAGCTCACTGGCAGAGTACTTGCCGAGAATATGTGAGGCCCTGGCTTCCGTCGCCAGACCACACTGCTAAGGGTAGTTGCTTAAGGGGAAGAATAATGAAATGTTTTCATTGTGACAATCATATAAGTGTGACTATACTAGGGAATTGTATGTTGGTTTTGTTTTGTTTTGCTTTGCTTGAGATAAGATTTCCCTTTAGCCCCAGCTGGCGTGGAACTAGCTATGTAGCCCAGGCTGGACTCGCTCTCACAGAGATCAGCCTGCCTCTGCCTCCACCTCCCAAGTGCTGGGATTAAAAGCCTGTGCCATCATGCCCGTTCTGCTTCTATAATATTTTATGCTTTCCTCATGAGCTACTTTTCATACATTGAGCAATGGTCCGTTTTCTTGGCCCTCATCCTCACCAGATAATATTCTTCAGGGTACGGACATCATTTGCCTTGCTCACTGGTGCATCCCTAGCACACAGGAAAGTGGCTGGCACAAAATAAGCTCAATGTATGTCAAAGAAATGAGTAGCCCTTTTTTTTTTTCAGAGCTGAGGACCAAACCCAGGGCCTTGTGCTTGCTAGGCAAGCACTCTACACTGAGCTAAATCCCCAACCCCATGAATAAATCTTAATTCACATCAAGGGCACAAAGAGCTGAAGGCAGTAATCAGGGCAGAAGCAGAGACAGGGAACCTGGGGAGGTTAGGATATAAAATTGCACAATTATATTTCTAAGCTGTAATACAGGTAGCCGACATGGTCTCTATCCACTGACTCAGCCATAAGTCTACAACACTTACTGGGCTCTGTGGCAAGAGGCTGCTGCTGGTCTCTTGAGTACTGGGAGGTCGGCTTCCACTTTCCTCCAATGGCAAAATACCCCTTCGATCCAGTACACTGACAGAGACAGGAGAGTTAGTCAAGAATTTGGCATTCACCCTTCTACCAGCTCATTCCACTGAACCTTGCTATGTACATGCCCTTTGGCAATTGTCCTGACCCTAGTTCACATCTACCATTTTCTTTTTTCTTCCACAAACCAGTGGGTGTCACATTAACCATGGACAAAATGAAATAACCAGCCCAAGGTTTTTGGTCCATGTAGATATGGTGCTATGTGACAACTCTCAGGAAGATGTATTTGACACCACGAAGCTCCAGTCAGAAAAATGGGGGAATGGAGAAATGGCTCAGCAGTTAAAAACTTGTACTGCTCTTTGAGAAGAATGCCTCAGAGCAGGTAGTAGGGTAGAGTTGAGTGGTTCATCCTAGGACCTCCAGGGGATTTTAATCACTCGAGTACCTGGGGGGCAAGGGGCCACAAAGCACTTCACAGCAGTTCTTCACAATGTTGCCATGGCTATAGGGATTCTGAACACGGTTCTTTCCTGTCCATGATCCTTTGATCTGCAGGATAAAAGCCAGGGCTTACATTAAAAACTTATGCTGAAGAAAATACATGCAGCATGGGATGATGAGAAAATTCAAGGGGTAGATGGTGGCAATGGTTGCACAACAACATGAATGTCCTAAATGTCACTGAACTATACATTTAAAATGGTTAAGATGCTGGGCGCGGCAGTACACGCCTTTAACCTCAGCACTCGGGGGGCAGAGGCAGGTGGATCTCTGTGAATTCGAGGCCAGCCTGGTCTACATAGTGAATTCCAGGCCAGCTGGGGCTACAGGGAGACCCTGTCTCAAAAATACCAAAATAAATAAATAAACAAATAAATACAAAAAGACCTAAATAAACAAATAAAAATAAACAAAAAAAAATTTTTAAAAGACTTTGTGCCTATTCAACTTTTCAACCTCTTCCTAATGCTCTATAGGCACTCAGCTCCAAACAAAACTATCTGCCTTCTCTTCTACATTACTGATTTCACAATCTCCCAAGCCAGGTTTTGGCCTGTCTCAACTTTCCAGGATCTGGTTCCATAACAAGTAACAAGAGAATGGTCTTTAGAGAAGAATACACAGTGAGTAAAAGAGAAAGTTGACTCACGTCTTCATTGGTTGTCTGGTTGAGAGCCACGAGGAAAGTGTGAAATCCAGTCAGTCCCACAACAGACCAGAGTGTGAAGAAGCAAATGAGGACTTCTAGAACAGTGAGGTTAGGTTAAGGAATGTTGAAGACATCACAGCAGGGAACTTGATGCCTTGGTCCATATTCATGAGACGAGTCACACCATCATTATGTCTTGGAACAAATATCACAAAAAACTAAACACCCATATGTAAAAACAGACTAATTCTAAACTCACTGGATACACCCTTTATGAAAGTCATAGGGTTTCTGTTTATTCACTCCGGATAAATCTCTGGCATCTCTAGTGTAGTGTTTGCCTATTGGTTCTATGAAGGGGGCATTTAGAAAGGTGTCAGGCTAAACAATGTTGGCCATAACTGCTAATGGAAATACCACCCAAAAAAAGCTATAAATGAAAAAAATAGTGGAAAAGAAATGATACAGTTTATCCAAATCTCTTTAAATCTCCTTTTTAGAAATGTAGTTACTGCACAAAATACACCTTAACTGAAACAAGAGTGCAGGTTTTCCAGTAATGGCACAAAATGTACTAAGTGAAAGGATAGACAGCTAAGGGAGTCAAGGTTCAGCCCGGAAGGACTCAGGGGTAGTGGGGGAGACAGCCAAGAAGGAGGAAAGGGACAAACCTCTCTTTAAGTCCTGACCATTTTCCATTCCAGGTGCTAACACTAGGACTACACTTTTTAATTTTAGACTTTGGTGTTCACTGATGTTTGGAAAACTAGATGGTGGGAGAGCTGAAGGGAGAAAACATGCTGAAAAGTAGTTTAAGATGGTTTCACAGGGACATACTGCCAGGGGAGGATATGTTCCAGGAGTTTCTTTCAATGTCTCCAGGAAGCCAATTTTCAAGGATTCTGTGAAATTGGGAGGAGCAGAGAGAAAAGTTATTGACTTTAGTCAAAACTATAAAAGCCCCCTAGTGTCCACTCCCCTCCCTCTGTTCCCTGTCCCACACTATACTCTGACAAGAGAGAAGCTCCCACTGGGGTAAGGGCAAAGTGTCTCTCCTTCAACTGGCAATCCTGTGACTGAGTTCACATTCCCAACATGCTCCAAAGTAGGGCTAGGCACTAGACAGGAGCAGGGCAGAAGCCAAGCATTGGGCTCACATCCCTTCTTCTAGACCCCAAGTACAGACATGCAGTGGGATAGTAAGAGATGAAAGAAACAAGAAATAGTTGAAAAAAATCTTCTCATCTATGCCCCTCCCTGTGTGCTATCCAGCTGAGAGTTCCTCTCTTTCCATGAAGGTATCTTGATCAAAACCATTTGCTTAACTCCACACCCCACCTGTCCTTAGCTTCTCTGTGTGTACACATGCACACATATGGGTGTGTATGTTCCATCTCTCAAATGCACTGTGATCTAGATATTAAACGATATTTCTCTTGTAAAACCCCTTCTACCACCTAGCACAAAGGCAGATCTAACAAGACAGAAGAAGAGATTGTTCAGAAGCATATATATACCCAACCTTTTGGGTCACCTCAGAATTACCCAGTACTCCGGATACAGATCAATAGTATGATCCCCATCCCCAGCAGAGGGGCAGAAAGAAGGCCAGCACACTCAGTAAACATTTACTGATATGAACTGAGGTTTGTAGCTCAAGAGATGAAGATAGTGCTCATTTCTGACTGTTCCCAAGGTGCCTTCCTAATGACAAAAGTGCCACGAGAAACCCAGTCGCTCCCTGAGCTACCCTCAAGCCTTTCCCCGCCCCACGCCCACACCAGCAACAGAAGCTTCCCTCTTTACTCACTGAGAGCCACATAGACGATGTTGAAAGCGAAGACATAAATTGTAAGGAGGGAGAGAGAGAGAATGAAGAGGTAGAAGTAGCGGTAGTTCCTCTTTCCGACACAATTTCCCACCCAGGGACAGTGATGGTCGAAGCGCTCTGTGGGAGAGAGTTGAACGTCAAATTTCCAAACAAGAGCAGCCCCTCCTCCCATATAACACCTAATTCAAAGAATCTAGGGAGCTGAGTGGGCATGGCATCGCAAGCCTTTAGTCCCAGCACTCAGGAGACAGATGCAGGTGGATCTCTGAGTTGCTGGTGGGGCAGGGCTGCATAGTGAGACCGTCTCAAAAAAAAAAAAAAGAAAGAAAGAAAGAAAAAGAGAGAGAGAAAGAGAGAGAGAGGGAGGGAGGGAGGGAAAGAAAGAAAGAAAGAAAGAAAGAAAGAAAGAAAGAAAGAAAGAAAGAAAGAAAGAAAGAAGGAAAGAAAGAAAAGAAAGAAAAAAAGAAAAAAGAAAAAGACGCGCTACTGAGCTCCCGCCGCGCCTCCTCGTGGCGCCAGGGGTTCAGCTGCAGCGCCAGGGCACATTGCTCCTGCATAACTGGCGCCACCTGCCCATTACGGGTGGCCCTTTTAACCGCCAGCTACAGGGGCGCGGGCAAAAAGAAAGAAAAAGAAAAAGCACAGTTGGCATTCTTTATTTTACCAAAATGTTTTTATGATAGCTCATTCGCTCTTTATAATTACACTGGAAGTTATTCAAAACGATATGCTCTCATTTTACAGATGAGGACCTAAGGCTCTGAGCGGTCAAATGAGCTGTGTTGCTCTGTCAGTTAAGGGCAGAGACACTGCTTTTTCAAATAAGAGTATTTGGGCAACACATATTGTACTCAATAGTCTTTAAAAAAAAAGTGGACATGAAGTTGGGTGGGTAGGAAGGTGGGAGTAGATCTGGGAAGAGTTTTCAGTATATACAAATTTTTCAGTTATAATAACTTTGGAAATAAAAATAAAATATACTCCTAAAATAAACAGCAAAGAAAATAGGGTAAAAAGAGACAAATAAAATAAGGTAAAAATAGCTAACAGACATCATATAACATTAATTTTTTTCAAAATCACTAATAATTCAGTGAAATACTATTAAAATAATAAAATATTTTTGCCTTTCAAAATAAGAACACAGAGCCAAGCCAGGTATAGTGGCACACACCTTTAATACCAGCACTCAGGAGGCAGACACAGGTGGATCAAGGCCATGCTGGTCTACATAGCAAGTGCCAGGTCAGGTGAGGCTACAGGAAGACCCTATCTCAAAAAGGCCAAAAAAGAAAAAAGAAAGAAAACAAATAATCATAGCCACTACCAGGTAGAATATGGTAAAATGGGCTCTTCTAAATACACTGAGAATGTCATTCCAGAGAGCAATTTGTTGGTACATATCAGTAACTTCTCATAAGGAAATAGAAGTGTGCAGAGCATTTTAAGTTCAATAATGTTTTATTAGAATTTTATTGTGATAAAATAAATAACATAAAATTTACCATTTTAACCATTTTAAGTATGTTGCTCAGGGACATTAGTCATTTTCATAATGTTGTACAATCATCATCACTGTTTTCAAATTATTTTCATAACCATAATAGAAATTCTGTATTCATTAAACAATCATTCTCCCATCCCCTATTCTCTGGCAATTTCTAACCTCTATGACTTTGCTTATTCTAGACATTTCATATAAATCAATTTGTACAATATTTGTCCTTATGTGTCTGGCTTCTTTTCAAGGTTCATCTATGCTATCACATATCAATACTTTTTTTTTGAGACAGGGTCTCCCTGTAGCCCCAGTTGACCTGGAACTCAGCTATGTAGATCAGGTTTGCCTTGAACTCACAGAGATCCACATGTCTCTGCCTCCCGAGTGCTGGGATTAAAGACATGTGCCACCATGCCCAGCTTAATACTTCTTTTTAATGACTGAATACTGTTGCAATATATCAATATATCTCACTTTGTTTATTCATTCATCTGTTGATAAGCACTTGGGTTGCTGCTACATTTTAGCTGCTATGATTAATGATACTATGAACATCTATGGACACATGTTTTGAATACTTGTTTTCAAATTCTTTTAGCTATTGCTGTTCACAGAATTATGTACCCCTGGCCACCCATATGTTGAAATCCTCACCTCCATGGCTGTTAAATGAGGTCATAAGGGTGGGGCCCTAATTCAATAGGATTTGTGTCCTCCTAAGAAGTTGAGACACTAAGAATGTGTAAACACAGGGGGCTGGACAGATGGCTCAGCAGTTAAGAACACTGACTGTTCTTGCAGAAGACCCAGGTTTGAATCCCAGCACCCACATGGCAGCTAACGACTGTCCATAATTCCAGTTCCAGGGGATCCAACAGCCTCTTCTGTCCTCTGTGGGCATTACACGACACGTGTGCACTTACCTACATGCAGGCATAACACTCATATACATAAAATAAAAATAATAAGTAAAATATAAAAAAATGTGTAAACACAGAAAAAATAGCTATTTGAGGACATAGCAAGTAAGAAGCCATCTGCAAGCCACAGAAAGATATTGTACCCAAAACTGACCCTATTGTTAACTAGATTTTGGACTTCTCAGACTCCAGAACTGTAAGACATGTACATTTCTTTGAATCAAAGAACACATTCTATAGTAGTTTGCTATCATAGCCAAAGCAAACATATGGGTATATGCTCAGGAGTACAACTGCTGGCTCATATAGTGATGAGAAACTACCAAACTGATCTCTACAGTGGATACACAATTTTATATTCCTACTTATATAACAAGGTTCCATAATACTGATTGATTGATTGATTGACTGATTGATTGATTGACTGACTGGCTTTATGTGTTTGATGTTTTGCCCACATGTATGTGACCTGTGTCATGCAATGACCACAGAAGCCAGAAGAGGGCATCAGATACCCTTAATCCAGAGTTACAGATGATAGTAAACTGCCATGTAGGTCCTGGAAGCCAAACCCGGGTCCTCTGTAAGAGCAGTCAATACTGTTAACCACTGAGTCATCTCTCTAGCCCTTGTGTTTGTTAGATTGTTAGCTAGTTAGTTAGGTTAGTTAGTTAGTTAGTTAGTTAGTTAGTTAGTTAGTTAGCTAGCTACCTAGCTTGCTTGCTTGCGTGTTTGTTTGTTTGTTTGTTTGTTTGTTTGAAACGTCGGTCTCCCTGTAGCCCCAACTAGCCCAGAACTCACTATGTAGACCAGGCTGGCTTTGATCTCACAGTTATCCACCTGCTTCAAGCTTAATAATATTTTTTGAACAGGGTCTTACCATGTATCCTAGGCTTTCCTTGAACTCACAATCTTCCTACTTTGGCCTCTCAAGTGCTGGAATTACAAGTGTATACTACCACACTTGGCTGAGCTCAATAATGTTTATTTCAGTGTTATAATAATAAATAAAATTGAATAGGGAATAACATCTAATGTCAGAAGAGTGACTAAATAAACTAGAACACAACCTTATGATGGATTATGTACTCATTAAAATGATTCATTTGAAAAAAAATTTAAAGGTGTAGAAAAAATGTCTGGTGTGGTGGCACATGCCTTTAGTCCCAGCATTCGGGAAGCAGAGGTAGGTGGATCTCTGTGAGTTCAAGGCCAGTCTGGTCTACATAGTGAGTTCCAGGCCAGTTGGGGTTACAAGGGAGACCCTGTCTCAAAAAGACAAAAAAAATGTAGGAAAAAAAGCTCAGAGTCTAATTTTAAGGAAAAAAAGCAATATTCAAATCTTATCAGGCTGGATAGATAGCTCAGATTGTCAAGTGCTTGTCATGCAAGCATGAGGACCTGAGTTTAGATCCCTGGCACCCACATAAAAGACTAAGCATGGCAACCCATGCCTGTAACCCCAGCATTGGGAAAGTAGAGACAGGAGAATCCCTGGGGCTCATTGGCAGACCAGTCTAGCTGAATCTGCAAGTTCTAAATTCAAAGAGACTCTGCCTCAAAAAACAAGGTGGATGGGGCTAGAAAGATGAATCAGGGGGTTAAAAGTACTAGCTGCCCTAGAGGAGGCCCTGGATTCAGCTCCCACTACCCATATGGTGGATCTCAACTGTCTGTAACTCCAGATCCAGGGGCTCCTATGCCCTCTTCTGGCCTCCATGGACACCAGACATACATGTGGTGCATATACACACCTACATGCAGGCAAAACACTCATACACATAAAAGTATATAAATCTTTTTCTTTAATTTTATGTGCATGAGTATATTGCCTGCATATATGTAAGTGCACCTGTGTCATGCAATTCCCTCGGAGGACAGAAGAGGGTGTCAGATACCCTGGAACTGGAGTTATGGACAGTTGTTAGCTGCCATGTGGGTGCTGGGATTCAAACCCAATTCTTCTGCAAGAACAGCCAGCATACTTAATCGTTGAGCTGACTCTCCAGCCCCAAGTATATAAATCTTTTTTGTTTGTTTGTTTTATTGTTTCTTTTTTTCTAAGTATATAAATCTTTAAAAAATAAAATTAAATAAGGTAGAGAGTGACCATCAAGATGGTTCAGCAGATAAAAGTGCTTGCCATGAAAGCCTGATGACAAAAGTTGAATCTCCAAGATCCACTTAAAAGGTAGAAAGAGAACTGCACATGAAAGTTGTCCTCTGACTTCCACATGCACTTTGTGGCATGCACACTCCAACACACATATCATATACCCAAACACACACACTAAAATTAAGTTTAAGAGGTGGAGACCAGGACTGGAGAGATGGCTCAGGACTGGAGAGATGGCTCAGCGGTTATCCCAGCACCCACATGGCAGCTAACAACTGTCCATAACTTCAGTTCCAGGAGATCTGGTGCCCTCTACTGACCTCCAGAGGCACTGCACAGCATGAGTGCACTTTACATACATGCAGGCAATACACTCATACACACAAAAATAATTTTTTTTTAAAAAAAGGTGGCGAGCAATTGAGGAAGACATTCAATGCCCAACTCTGGACTCAACATGCATATGTACATGTACACACACACACACACACACACACACACATATACACACAAGCATGTCCACACACCACCCAAAACAAAACAAATCAAAACAAACATACAACAACAAAAAAAAAAAGCTCTTATATTTAAAGAAGTCAGAAATCACTGTACAGGTTCCTCAGAAAACGAAAAAAAAAAAACTACCATATTATTCAGCTATACCATACCATTTCTGTCTCCAAAGGAATCTAATTCAGCATAGCACAGAGATACCTGCACATCCATGCTTACTACTGCAGTATGCACAATAGCCAAAATAATAGAACCAGTCTAGAAGCCCAGCAATAGATAACTAAAGAAAATATGGTAGGGGCTGGAGAGATGGCTAAGCGGTTAAGAGCACTTACTGCTCTTTCAAAGGACCAGGTTCAGTTCTCAGCACCCATATGGCAGCTAACAACCATCCTTAACTCCAGTTCTAGGTGACCCAATGCCTTCTTCTGGCCTCTGTGAGCCCCAGGCACACACTTGCATATGTACAGACAAAATACTCATACACATAAAATAAAAATAAATTAAATCTTTTTAAAAAGAAAAAAAAATCTGTTATACATATACAATAGAATTTTATTTAGCTAAAGAAGGACGAAATTAAGTCATTTTCAGGAAAACAGATGGAACTAGAGATAATTATGTTAAGCAAAATAAGTCATACATATTCAGATAAGTAATACATGTTTTCAGTCACATGCAGAATCTAGATTCAGGTGTGTGTATATGTGTATGTGTATGTGTACGTGTGTGTGACATGAAATCAAAGGGGAGACTAATTGGGGTAGACAAAGAAGATGAAGAGGTGTGAGAACTGTAAAGAGCAAATATGAGCAAAGCATAATGATATATACATAGAAAAATGTCAGAATGAAGCCCATTATTTTGTACATTAATTTTAACAATTAAGAGCTAGAGATATAACCAGTGGTAAAGTACTTGCCAAGCATATGTGAGACCCTGATTCAACCTCCAGTACCACATAAAAATTAATTTAGAAATTTAAAATCTCTTATGTCATGTTTGGCCCCATTTTAGAAATGAAGGAGTTGGAAAAATATAGCAAAACAGAGTGAATTTAAAACTGGGTTTTATGCCGGGCATGGTGGCACATGCCTTTAATCTTAGTACCCAGGAGACAGAGGCAAGCAGATCTTTATGAGCTCAAGGCCAGCCTGGTTTCCATAGTGAGTTCCAGGCCAGCTGGTGCTACAGGGAGACCCTGTCTCAAAAAGACATAAAATAAAATAAAATAATAAAATAGGATTTTATTTATATTTTACTACTGCTGTGCAAGCATCCACAGAACCCAGTTTTAAAAAGCCAGGAGTGAGGGCACATGTTTATAATCCCAGCACTGGAGAGGCTGGGATTCCCAGGGCTCACTGGCCAGCCAGCCTAACCTATTTGGTGAGTCCCAGGTCACAGTGAGAGACCCTTACTTTAAAAACAAGTGATGATTCCTAAAAAATGACACATAAGGTTGTCTCCTGGCTCTCACATACATGCATGTATACCAACACACACACACACACACACACACACACACACACACACAAAAGAGAAAGTAATATTTTTTTAAGAACAGTGAGCTGTGTACTTGTCAAAAAAATAAAGATATAAAAGTAGTATATCCCAGAGACTAGAGAAGTGACTCAGTAGTTAAGAGTACTTACTCCTCTTCCAGAGGACCTGGGTTCAGTTCCCAGCATCCACATAGCAGCTAACACCAATTCCAGAGGATCCCACGGCTTCTCTGTTCTCGACAGGCACCAGGTACGCACATGATGTACTTACATTCAGGCAAAACAGTCATAAAATCTAAGCCACATATCAGTTTGGACCATATAAGCAGGATATAGCTCCCCCAAGCTTTGTCTAAAGAATTGGCTAGTAAAATGAAAGCAAGGTCCTTGGATGTAGTATATGGCATACAGAATGTTAGAATTATGTCAGTGATAATAGCAGTGTGACATATACGCCTATCAATAATTTATTGCCTGTGCATGATCTCCCCCAGGGTTCAGCACAAAGCAGTAAGTATGTACAACTAAGCCACATATGCAGATGATAACACAGACCCTGTGTTTTGCACGCCTACACATGAAGCAGTAGCAAAGATAAAAAACAAATGAGGGCTTGGACATCAAACCTGTTCGAGCACCATCTCATGCCAATTACATGAACTTACACAAAGGCACTTCACTATTTATGGGGATACCACTGGTTTCTGGGGATTGCTATGAGCCTTAAATGCAAGAAAGGGAAAGCACTCAACAGTGGCTAGAATGCAGTTAGAATGTAAAGAATGCTGCTACTTTAGGCATAGGCCTTCCACAATACTGCCCTCTAGTGGATTATGATGCCCCCCCCCCCCCCCCCCCCAGCCCATGGAAGGTAGGCCCCATCTGACATGGATCCCATAGAGCAACACTGGGTTTTCCAAAACAGGTATAGTCCCTAATTTATCAAAGAGATTTTTTTAGACATTTCCTTAAGTACATCTGTTGTTCAGGAGCTGCTGTCCTATCTGAATCTACCTTCTTTCCCATCTGAATCTATCTTCTCACGTCCCTTGACTTTTCCCAAGAGCTAGTGACCACTCTGATCCCTTGGTTCAACTCAGCCTTTCCTTCAGGCAACATCCCCTTGGTTTTACTCACCCACACAGTTGTCACAGATGCTACAATGGGAGGCCCGGGGAGGCCGGAAGATCTTGCATGTATAACAGTATTTCAGTTTCACAATCTGGTTGTTTATCTGGAAGTTCTTGATACGAGGAGGTGGTCGTTGGCCCTGAGGCACTGCACCATTGGTAGCTTCTGTAAATCAGTAAAATACTTTAAACACACTACTAGCCATTATTAGAGTCCAAAGTCTCACCATTTCTCCAAAAGCAATGGAGGCCATGAAAAGCTCTTTAGATTCCCCTTTTCCAGGTACTTTCAGACTAGAAGTTCAACTTAACAGTATCCCCTCAAATTCTACTGTGTGCCACACAATTATGTGATGTACATATGACAAAGTGTTTCTTCAAGAATTTTTTGGGGGGGAGGAAGCACTGATTACAAGAAAGAAAAAACCTCAGAAAGAAAATTGGCCAAAATATGAAATGAAAACATCTAACTTCACTAATAATCATATAAAATTAAAACAGAGGTATTATTTCTGCCTATTACATTAACAAGTATTAAAAAGAATGCCGCCGGGTGTGGTGGCACACATCTTTAGTCCCAGCACTTGGGAGGCAGAGGCAGGGGGATCTCTGTGAGTTCAAGGCCAGCCTGGTCTACATAGTGAGCTCCAGGCCAGCTGGGGATACAAGGAGACCCTGTCTCAAAAAGACCAAAAAAAAAAAAAAAGAATACCTAGTATACCTAGAAAAGGTCAAACATATCTTACCAGTGAACATGTTAGCAGCTACCAAAATTTGAAATGTGTATACTCTATGATCTAGTAATACGTCTATGAGGGGATTAGTAAAATTCAAAGAGAACTACAAAAGATGGTTTATGCAAGAGTATGTCACAGAGTCCCTTTTAATAGTGAAAACTGCCAGTCATGCACTTTTCATATCTATTATCAAAGCACTTGAGAAGTAGAGGCAGTAGGATCAGGAATTCAAAAAAGCCTCACCCACATAGCAAGTTAGAAACTAGCCTGGGCTACATGAGATCCGTCTCAAAAAAAACAAAAACAAAAACAAAAAACCCAAACAAACAAACAAAAAACAAAAAAAAAAAGTGAGGCTGAAGAGATGGCTCAGCAGTTAAGATCACTGGCTGCCCAGAGCAGTTGGCGCGCCAATTCCCTATTGGCAATTTGGGTAACCCCTTCAGAGGATGGCGTGATAAGAATAGGAGGTAGGAATTGGCTAGGCAGTTAGGGTAAAAAGACTCCAAAGAAAAGTAGCCAGTTTCTTGGCTAAAGTCAAAATGTCCTTGGGCCTGTTAGCAACATATCTGTTCCAAAGGTCAAAAATGTCAAAAGTATTTGGGAGCTTCTATCTAATCCTTAAAAGATTTTAGGGTTACCTCTTCAGAGGAGGGACTGTTGGAGGGGAGGGAGTGGGCATGGATTTGATCAAAACACCTTATATGCATGTATGAAATTCTCAGTAAAGTTTTTGTAAAAGTTAAAAAGAAAAAAAGATCACTGGCTGCCCGTGCAGAGGACCCAGGTTCAGCTCCCAGCATGTGCATGGCTGCTAATAACCATCTATAACTCCAGTTCCAAGGGATCTGATGCCCTCTTCTGGCCTCTGGGAGCATTGCATGCATATGGTACATTTAAATAAATGCAGGCAAAACATATACATAAAATTAATTAAAGACCAAAAAAATATGGAGGGGAGGAATATGCTCAAAGTACATCATATACTAATATGAAAATGTCCTGCTGAAACCCAGTACCACATACAATTAATATATACAATTAAAAAATTATTGCTGGGGCTGGAGGGATGGCTCAGCAGTTTAGAATACTGGTTGTTCTTGCAGAAGACCCAGGTTCGAATCCCAGAACCCACATGGCAGCTAACAACTGTCAGTAACTCCAGTCCCAGGGCATCCGACAGCCTCTTCTGTCCTCCATGGGCATTGCACGACATGGGTGCGCTTACCTACATGCGGGCAATACATGCATACACATAAAATAAAAATAATAAAATACATTTTTAAGAAATTATTGCAAAGACACCAGGCATCGTGGTGCACACCTTTAGTCCCAGCACTTGAGAGGCAGAGGTAGGTGGATCTCTATGAATTCAAGGCCAGCCTGGTCTACATAGTGAGTTCCAGGCCAGCTGGGGATACAGGGAGACCCTGCCTCAGAAAAAGACAAAAAATTATTTAAAAACAAAAACTAGGGACCAATGAGACAGCTCAGTGGGCTAAAGCACTTGCTACCAAGACTGATGACCTGAGTTTGATTCCTAGGACTCACAGTGTAAAGAAAGAACTGACTCCTGCAAGTTATCGTCTCACCTCCACACACATACCATGGATCATGCACTACCCCCCCCAAATGTAATAAAAAGAATTTTTAAAAATAGCCTTAAATAAGAAAAATTAAAAGAACTGCAATGTCACAACAGGAGATGAGTTAAGTAAATTGTTTTACTTATATTTTATGAGTATTGGTGTTTTGCTTGCATGTATGTAAGAGCCCCATGTGTGTGCAATCCTGCAGAGGCCAGAAGGGGACATTGGATTCCCTGGAACCAGAGTTAAAGCCAGTTGTTAGATGCCATGTGGGTGCTGCGAACCCAACCTGGGTCCTCTGCAAGAGCAACCAGTCGGTGCTCTTAACCTCTGAGGCCCTCTCTCCAGCCCTGGGAGAGATATTTTTATGACATCATAGAGATATAATTATGATAAATGCACAAAATGTAATGGTGTACATTCATTTAAAATAATGCAGGCAAATGAATAATGGCATAGGAAAATATAATAGGTTGCAAAATGGAAATGTATGCTAAGAAGCTTACAATTAGAATAACTTAAAATAAAAATAATACATGTGCACGCCTTTAATCCCAGCACTTGGGAGGCAGAGGCAGGTGGATCTCTGTGATTTCAAGGCCAGCCTGGTCTACATGGTGAGGTCCAGGCCAGCTGGGGCTACAGGAAGACCCTTCCTCAAAAAGACAAAAAAAAAAAAATAATAATACATGCTTATAAAAATAGGCAAAAACTAGGAGGTAAATATGATCCAAATACATTGTATGCATGTGTGAAATTCTCAAAGAATAAAAATATTATATTTAAAATTATCTATCATGGATTAACTGTGAAAACTAAGTAATACTATTTTTAAAATAGGCAATGGGACTGGAAAGATAGATCCATGCTTAAGATTCTATATTGCTCTTAAAGAGAGCTTGAGTTTAGTTCTCAGGTGGCTCACAACTGTCTGTAACTCCAGCTCCAGGGGATCCAATAACCTCCTCTGGCCCCCAGGGGCACCTGCACTGATATGTGCACAAACCCACACATAGACAAACATAATTAAAAATAAAATAAAATCTTTTTTTAAAAAAAAGAAAAAACGGGGCTGGAAAGATGGCTCAGTGGTTAAGAGCACTGGCTGCTCTTGCAGAGGTCCCAGGTTCGACTCCCAGCACCCACATGGCAGCTAACAACCATCTGTAACTCCAGTTCCAGGGGATCTGACACACTCTTCTGACCTCTGCGGGCATTGCACAACATGGATGCACTTACATACATGCAGGCAAAACCCTCATAGACATAAAATAAAAATATTAAAATATTTTTGTAAATAGACAAAACAGTTTAAGAAAAGATAAAAAATCACTAGCAGTCTCTTACCTTGGAGATAGATAGCTATACATTTTGATGTATTTCTCTTAATACCCTCTTAACAGATAAATAAATGTCCACTATTTTAAATTTTTAAGCACATACAGATATAATTTCGTATTATTACTTATTTAAAATTATACTGTGAACACTTATCCATGATGGTTAATTTTTTTTCTAAAACATCATTATCAGCAATAGTATATGATATTCATGTACTTTGATTTATTTCAACATTCCACATTCCACATTATTAGATACTTAAAATGTTTCAGCTTTTTGTGTTTGGTTTTTTTTCCTTTGAGAGAGGGTCTCACTATGTATTGCTGGCTGGCCTGGAACTCGCTATGCAAACCAAGCTGTTTGGACTCCCAGAGATCTGCCTGGCTCTGCCTCTCAAGTGCTGGAATTAAAGGTGTGCACCACCAGACCCAAGTTCTCAAGGCTTTTTTTAAACTATTTAAATGACATTGCATATAAAATCTTAAAATCTTATAGACAAAAGCTTAAATCCCATTTCATCACTCAACCCCAGTCTGCTCCTTCCCCAAGAATATATTCACGAGTTAAAATTAATCTCTGAAAGAGAAACAAATGCATGTTAAAGTTTGAGGAATAATTTTTGAAGTTGTTAGCATTAAAATAGCTACATTCATATTAAAGAGAAAAAAAGGAAACCAAAAATATGCTAAAAATCCTTCTACAATAACTTGCTTTAAATGTCTACTTATTTCCCTTTGCTACACTCTTGGGGAAATTTTAATTACTAGGCCAAAGGGTAGGAACCTTTAAGTCCCATGTTGTTTATTACCAAACTGCTTCCCAGACAGACTGTATGAATTTGCATGCCTGCCCATCCACAGCATCTGAGAGGGGAGTGCCTGGCTCGTTGCACCTTTGCCACGCAGTATAATTCTAAAACCAGAATATTTTTTCAATTCACTTTGATTTTAAAAATATCTGCTATATGGAACATTTTTCTTTTTTTACAGAGTGAGGTAGGTGCTGTGAAATCAAACAATAATAGTGTGCCACAAGTCTTTAGAAGACAGGGCTAGCTATTCATTAACAAATGATGTAAGAACCAGCATGCCACTTTAATATTCTTTACATATGCTTTACAGTAGGGTGCCCGGGGCTCAGAGGTCATGGTTCAATCTCCCCTGGAGCTACTATGAGGCAAGGGGCTCACACAACTTCTATATTCAATACAGAGCTGAACTGAAGCTGAAAGAAACTTGTTAACATAAATATACTTATTAGGATTGGAGAGCATACCGCCCTTGCAGAGAACTGGAGTTCAGTTCCCAGCATCCCTTGCCAGGCAGTTCACCGCTGCCTATAATTCCAACTCCAGGAGATCCAACACCCTGTCTGGACTCTGCAAATACCTACAAATGTGTGTACATACCCACACAGAAACATACACACATACACACAATTAAAAATAAACTGAATTTTAAAAATAAACATTTAACTCGGGTATGTATTATTCTCTGGAGAGCAATGTGCTAAATGCAAAGATCATAATATAATAATTGAGCCTGGCCTAGTGATAGGACAGAAAACAGCTATCCTTCTTGACAAGCTGCTGGCAGATGCAGGAGACAAGCTAAGGTACTGACTTGACCCTCAGGCTCTACATATGTGAATGGGAAGCAGTCTATAGAAGAATAATCCAAAAAGTGAAAAAATAGTACTCAACCCTTCTTCTGGCTTGCTCCTAATTACACTCTGTTCTACCCCTATGTCTCCATTCCAAAAAGAAATGTGAAACTAGGAGAAAACTGCTCAAATAAACAAACACAAAAGCATTGCAGCCTTCAGAGTGGCTTCAAAGAACTAAAGGCTGGCCAGAGGTTGGCACTCTACTGACACAGGTTCTTAGCTTTACAAGTTCTGGGTCACAGGGCTTGTGATATAGCTCAGCAGTAGAGTACTTATCTAGCATGTCCAGGGGCCTGGGTTTAATCCCAGGGGCAAGAAGGTGATAAAACAAGTCCTGGGTCACTTTTCTCTACCCTACCTGGAATGTATGCAGACTCAAGCTCCTGGGGAAACAAAACTGAGATCTGCTTACACAGCCACTGCTGCTGGTCTGTGGGGCTCCCACTTGCTCCCAGTACTTGCATCATCGACTTTTTTTTCACAATATGAACCCCCAAGATATCCCCTTTCTAGCCTTGGGATGTTCTGTTTCAATGCATAAATCCATCATGGCTCCTGGTGGTGTTGCAGTTCAGTCTCTGTCCCAAAGATGCTCTTTTTAAAATATTTTATTTATTATTTTTATTTTATGTGTATGAGTGTACTGCCCGCATGTGTGTAAATGCACCTGTGTCATGCAGTGCCCGTGGAGATCAAAAGAGGGTGTCAAATCTTCTGGAACTGGAGTTCTGAACAGTTGTTAGCTACCATGTGGGAACTGGGAACCAAACCCAGGTCTTCTGTAAGAGCAGCCGGTGTTCTTTACCACTGAGCCATCTCCCCTGCCCCCCCAAAGGTTCTTACCCAGTGCTACTGAGCCTACAATTGTTTTCTTTTCCTCTCCTCGAATTATGAGTGGTTCCTGCACCATGGTTGCCCCTTCTCACCTTGTGTGATCCCCTAAAGCAGGAATTCTCTGTCGGTGGACCCATGAATGTACTTCAAAAGATACACGAAACTTTAAATGTATACCTGAAGTTGTATGTGTATGCAAAAAAAAAGAATATGTTATGGAGACACAGTTTACAGCTTTCATCAACACACAAATCAGTGGTGGCCTCCTCCAAAAAAGTGAAAAGTCATCCTGTTGGCAACAGTGCAGTCAGATCTTGGTAACAAATCCTTTCTGCAATGCAACCCAACAGGAGGGAAAACAAAGCACGTGGTTTGACAGGCTTGCCGTACCCGGCTTACTAAATTCACAGGCTAGTCATTTAGGGTTTCAAAGAAAAAGATAGACTAGTAGACTGTGACTCTGTAACTACTCTGATGATTCCACTTCATTTCTCAACAAGGTACAGCACTATGCCAGTTGGTTGGACGACTCACCTATCTCCATTTCTATGAAAGCTGCTTCATCTGGTAGGGCCCGAGGAATCACTCCAGGATCACTGAAACTGGTCCTCAACAGTGTGGCCATAGAGAAAAGAAAGAGCATGGCCGCAAACACAGGAATAGCAGGAGACAGTTGAACAGCCAGGTAGCGACACCTGAAGAAAGAAGAATTCAACCTTTCAATCATACTTACCACTTGTACAGGTTTCCATTTGTTACAGCTCTGTCAATCACTCTGGTCTCCATAACAAAATCAGAGGTATCGCCAGGACAAAGAACACACTGTTTACTTCTCCTGAATATTCCAAACACTTAACACATAGTGCAACCTCAACACATACATAATTGTTTGACGTCACCTATGGCATGCAAAAATAATCTTAAGGGAACTCCCTCACTCCTAAGGTAAACTATGACTCTTATCAGCCCTCTAGGGATATTCTGTCTGCTTTAGGACATGTTCACACCTGGTCAGGACAGGGAAGCATAAAGGCCTGAGTCTGTAAGCACTACAGGGTGCTTTCACTCTAGGAAGGTACAGGGCTTTTCATATCCACTCATCTGGCATTAGGACTGAGCTTGATGAAGAGGGAAAAAACAGGATCAATCAGGAAGCAGGCTCATAGTGTCACACAGAGGGTATCTCAGCATGCTTCAAGACCAGCAAAAAGCTTCCAGGCTGCTGATTGACTCCGCAACATCCGTTCCTTTTGTCTCCTCAAATAGCTCAGTTAGTGGGTGCTCATCAGTAAAGGCGTAGGAAAACCACAACTCCTTAGTGCCCCTTCCTAACACCATGTTCACATCCCTCCTTCCTCATAATGCACCTCTTTTCTTCTCAATATCCTAAATGTACTTATCTTTTAGGTCTTAGATACATCATTGTCATCATGGTAACCACAATTTACCATATCCCACTTTAAATGCCCTATGTCATCCAATTTTCAACCAAAGCTACCAGGCAGGGTCCCTTATACCTGGATAGATGAAGAATTTAGGACTTAAAGAAGTTCTGCCTCCATCAAAAGGCCTATGCTAAGCAGCACTGTCCCTACCCTCCTGCTGTGAGCCTCAATGCCAGACCCTGGCATTCATAGCTCATTCATAGTATGTTGGCTTCACCCGCCCTAACTTGAGTCCATAAAAGCCAAAAACTGGTGTTACTGGACCTTTGGTTCAAATTCTGATTCTACAAACTCCCAACTGGGTGGCAGTGTCAGTCTCCTTATCTGCAAAAGGAAGATAGTAACAGTATTTCATGGGGTCACTATGTAGATCAAATGCAGTAGTATAAATAAAGTGCTTAGAAGGGCACTTGATGCCTAGTAGATTCCAAATAAATGACCTCTATTAATATTATCACCATGATTCTGTATTTGCTAGATTTTCACTCGGGTAAGAGAACAAAAAAAACTATCAATACTTGTTGATCTGAACTGAGCATCAAACCAAATGAATGGAATATGTGATAAACATTATCACTGACCTATTTTTATCCTCTTCCTCCTGAGACACAGTTCTCCTTGAAAACAGAGATCCTCACTGGAGGCAGACTATAAGTGGATGAGCAAGGAGTAGAGGGAGAGCAGAGAAAGTAAGCTGAGGAAAAAGCTTACCTCAGCAGCATGGGACGTATGCAAACTGTAGTCTATCCAGGGCAAAGGTTTAACCCTGGGTTGTGTGTTTGCTGCACTTTGAGAACAACCCCCATGAGATGCTCCCCTGCCTCCCTGCCACACACACAACTGCACGAGGGGGGGTGGGGGTGGGGGGCAGGTGGGGGGGATGCAAATCAGCTGTGATACTAGGCTAAGCACCATGATGAAAGTAAGCACATGTATTGAACCATATAATTTGTGGTCTTAGCTTGCTTTTTTTTTTTTTAACAATTTACTTGCTTCTAAAAGCCAAGAAAGGTATGGGGGCAAGGGAGTCAAGAACGGAAAGATCTGGCAACTGAGTTCAAGGTAATTAAGGTTTGTGCATAACACACATTTGTATATTTCCTTTCCATTCCTTCCCTTCAAAGGAGCACATTATCAAAAAGCAAATTCAGAAACAAAAATCACCACCACTTGCTAGAGACCCAAAGGACACGGGAGAATCATGATGCCAAGTTTCATGAACAAGTCAAGTGCAATCACCATACTACGAGAAAGCAGCCATCTTCCTAGTCATTGCTGGTCAATAAGATCGCTCTTGAAAACAATTTAGCAATGTCTCCAGGACTCTTACTGCCTTGAGTATAGTCTCCAATCAAAAGCCTTAAAACATTAGAGCTATTTGATTAACCCCAAAACCGTTTTTGGTTTTTGTTTTGTTTTGTTTTTTATTTAAGGGAAAGATACAGAGCGAGTAAAACAACCACTAAAGGGAAAAATCAAAATCAATGCTGCCCCTGCAAAGAAGGACTGAAGCTTAACTAAGTCCAGTTCCAACACCTGCTGTAGACCACACAAAGGACAGCTTAGATTTGAATTATGCTACACCATCAAGGATAAAGGTCTCTGTAGTCTCCACACAGACTACATTCTGCACCTGCTAAAACAATCCACTCTGTATGTCAACAAGGACACAATAGACTCATTGTATTGTTCCACTCCAGAGAGGAGGCTACTGGCAGCCAGTTGTGTCTAGTGAGTGGGTGTGGTTAGAAAGGCAGATGTGGGCCCACCAGGACTTTCTACTCTGAATAAGAAGAAACTTCAAGAGCTAGAGACTAGGACTACAGTGAACTACAACCTATACTGTATGTCTTCTATACTTACATTTAAATAAAAACAGCTTCCTAAGCAAAGCTTGGTGGTATATGCCTGTACTCCCAGCTACTCAAGAGACTGAGGCAGGAGGACCACTTGAGCTCACAAGTTCAAGACCACCCTAGGCAACACAGAGAAACCCATATCAAAAACAATGTTCCCCTAATGTAGGGAGATTGGGGATATATTGGTCAAAGGACACATAATTTCAATAAGTAAGGATAAATTCAAGAGATCCACTGCACATAACAATAACTGTAGTTAATAACAATGTATTGGATGCTTGAAAATTGCTGAAAGTAGATTTTAAATGTTCTCATCTCAAAAAGGTAAGTATATAAAATAATGCACATGTTAAAATAGCTCCATTTTAATCATTCCACAATACATTCACACATCAGAACATCATGTTGTCCACCATAAATATAGTTTGTATTTGCCACTTAAGTTTTTTTAACCTTAGTTTAATTCTATAACCACCATAAGCCAGGAGTCTGTCTTAAACAGGAAAAAAGATACATTAAATATTTACTAGTAATTCCCCAAAGTCAGAGTAACCTCAAACATCACTAATTTGTCTTAGAAAAAGGTTGGATCTGTCATCCATGAACATAAGCTAATTGTTTTTAAAACTATCTTGTACTTTCCATCAATATCATTTCTTACAATAATGATATCCATACACTCATGGAAACAGAAGTCTCTTGTTTCTTCCAAGTATCAGGAGGCCGTCCTCCTTCCAAAGGGTTAGAAGTTCCCATTCTCTATGTGTAAATAAACCATGTCCCCACTAAGCCTTCATTTTAAACTATCATCTACCAATGTCTTAACTGGCCTCAGGCTTCCATAGCTAGGCTACAGTACTCGACACCCATATGTTCCCATGAACCACATGATGGTACTGAACAGCAGTATCCAGCAGTGCCAGGCTAGGCTGGTGCATCATGTCCCATTCCCCCACCCCCACCATGCTAGCTCATTGGAGGAATGATAGTAATGACACAGACTTCAATTCACATGAAAAAACTCAAAAGAGATTCATGAGTGGAGCTGGTAAGAGACCAAACAGATTCCACATCAGAGCTACGTCTCAGACTGGAAGATTGGATTGGTGTTCTACATAACACTCTCCTTCTAAGTCCCTAATAGCTTTCTTTCTACATTTTTAATGTTTTGTTTGTTCTTTTATCAGTACAATCAATAAGCCAAGAAGCATTTATTGGTCTAACAAATGAAAAACAAGAGAAATAGTAGTTAATTTTGTTGGGGGAAAACATAACTAACATATGAAACAGCTAAAGCATAAGATGAAACCAATAATCAAGTGTTAGAATGGTGATTCAGACTCTCAGGACTGTAAGTGGTCAGAAAAGAGCTCTCTTGGGATGCTGGAAGCTGTTGAAATTGCTCCAATAGTAGCTATTAAGGATGACTTTAAGGAAGAACTGTGCTTTGGACAGCAAGAAGGTCTTAAGGATCAGAGCCCAACTAAGCCCTTTGGTACAACATGATAGGAGTAACAATGTTTTAATTTCTCCCAGATATGAAAGGATGGTTGTCTTCTTAGTTGTTATTTACTTGGTGTAGACTGTCTCCACAAAATTCAGGTTGAAATCTTAACCCCCAACGTGATAGTATCTGGAGTTGGGGGTGGAGCCTTTGGCAGATGATTATATCACCTAAGCCCCCACCCTGATGAATGGGATTAACGACTCATATGAAAGAGACTCAAGAAAGCCCCCTTGCCCATTCTATGATATGAGAACACAGCAAGAAGACAGCCACCTCTAAGCCAGGAAGTAGGTCCTCACCAGACCCCAACTCTGCAAGAACTTTGATCAAAGACTTTCCAGCCTCTAGAATTGTAAGACATACATTTCTGTTACTAAATCAGTTAACAAATCACCCAGTCTATAGTGGTTTGTGATAGCAGCCCCAGACAGACTAACACCACTCTAGACCATGAGAACCATGTAGAACCACCACCCATATCACTGTTTTCAAGGTTCTTCTAATGATAGAGTCTACTGAAAAGGGAAAAGTTTCCTTTAACACTAAAAACATAATTGAAAATAAAACCCCCAGACATTGTGCTACATAAAGGTCAGAGGAAAATGCATAACAATAGCCCTCTTTTGCTTCACTAGAAATGGAAAAAAATTAACCAAACAGGTATTTTCAATCCTGAGGTGGTACATAATCTCTACATAAAAAAATCTACTCAGTAGTTGCCCAATATTACATATGATAACAATTTTATAACTTCAATCATAGTATACTCCCCCCACTTAAAAACTTGTAACAGCTCAGTGTGGTAGAACACACTTTAAATCCCAGCACTCAGGAGGCAGAGGCAGGTTGATCTCTATGAGTTCAAGGCTAGTCTGGTCTACATA